GCTATAATTCTTGAAACAGACAGGGGCGATACAATTATTATAACAGACTACATTGACAGATATGGACTACATAATGTTAAGTGGTTGCGTTCCGTTTAACAAAAGTTATTATGGTTTGGCTGAGTAGAGTAACCATAGCGCTCATAAAGATCTCCATACATTGTGATATTTATTTCGTCTAAAAGGTTTATTTTATTTCTCAACCTCATTTTTTGGATATTAGGTAGTAAGAGTTTTAGTTTTTTTTGTCAATAATAATAATAATAATAATATATTAATAATATTTATTGACATATTTGTAATTACAGAAATCCTATGAAGACTCTGACACCTAAACTAGGCTTTAGTGCCTGTATCTCAGGAGTCAGTGGCTTCTCCCAATATAATTCGTAACAAGTGTCAAGAGAGCTTATTCAAAATTTTACAAGACAATACTTTTTATAGACATTTGTAAATTCCAGATATTACATCTAATTATCCTGTTACACATAATATACTTAAACAAAAATAACATATATTGAAAAAAAAATGTTTCAGTATAAATTACAATGAATATAATAGGTAATAAAATAGGTACATACACATAAAATACTAAAATACATAAATATACATAATACATAAATATACATAATTATACATTTTACATATGGGTATATGTAACACTAGTATAAATATATAAATTATACACATAATTAATGAATCAAAATAACTAAAACATTATTGTAGCAATGTTAGTTAAATAGATCTTCTGTTTCCTCATAATTTAAGGACAAAAGCCAAGTCTTAACAGTTGATTTGCAGTCATGTAGTGAAAGAGGGTAGAAATTTAATTTTTGTTTATTTTATTATTAGAAGACTGAGAGATATTTTGTCGCCTTGCGAAGGTAGTACGGAATTTTGCTGTGGGGAGTACATTTGGTATACAGCTTTGTTACTGCAAACCTCTGGTATAAGGGGTATGGACATGTTTTGTATTATATTAAAGACGAATAACTGTCTAACACTGAGGAGCTCACACTGTTTATATAAAAGTGTGGTTGAAAAACTGAAGGGTTTGAAAGTCATTACTTTTAGTAAGATCTGTGGGCTCTTTCAAGCTGAATTAGATGTGACTTGCACGCTCCACCCCACACGCTCACGCAGTATCCAATAACCGATTTTACTAAGGGCAAAGTAAACAGTGCGGAGTAGTTCAAATTCCGCGGCATAACGTAATTTTTTGAATGTCCAGATTAGTTTTCGGTGCGTGCCGTTATAATCTCAAGTGAGGTAGCCAACTCAATTTATTATCTAATTCGATACCGAGGTATTTAATGGTATTGATTTGTTATATTAATGCAAGTACAATTTCGCTAGAGACACATATGTGTATTTTAAGATTAATCAGTCATATGGGAATTAATAGTTGGACTGAATATACGAAGTTTTAGAAATATTTAAAGTAAGTAAATTTTCCCTGAGCCATCTAGCCACCTTTCTGCAGTCCGCTTTCGGCAATATTTTGTATCTCGGTCCAGGTGTCCCCATAAAAACTATAGCCGTATTGGCATAGGTAAACAACCTGCAACTAGTTAGGGACAAATTACATAGGTCGTTTATGTAAATAAGAAAAAGACTTGGACCAAGAATACTGCCCTGCGGAACTCCAAAAGTTACATTTGCGTCGGAACTAATATAATTATTAATCTTAACCCTTTGCACCCGACCACTAAGGAAATCTTTAAAAATAAGCAGGGCTGAGTCTCTTATTCCAATTCGCTCCAATTTGTCCACAAGTATAGGAATTGAGACGGTATCAAATGCCTTGGCAAGATCGAGGAAGACACCAAGGCACTTTTTTTCCTGTCAAGTTTTTCTGTGACAAACTCAACCAAGCTCCCACAGCGTTTCTGTTGACATACCCATCTGAAACCAAATTGTGAGCTGGACAGAATATTGTACCGATTTAAAAACTGTATTAACCTCACGTTAAGCATCTTTTCTAGGATTTTTGATAGTGCTGTAAGCACAGAATCGGTCTGTAGTTTGCAACACAATCCCGTGCCCCACCCTTGTGAAAGGAGTAATGAGAGACCTTTTAAAGACTTTTGGAAAGCAGCCTTCCTCACAATGTTTGAAACAAGATAGTAAGCGCACAATGACATGTCTTACCATTTTTAGAAATCGAGCTGGTATAGAGTCCCAACCAGTGGCACAACATTTTTTGAGCTTAAGATGAGAGATTCCACCTCAGCCTCATCTGGTGGCATTAGTACGAAGGAGTTAGTAAGCAATTAGATTGACATGTGTTATACTTACACCCTGTAAGTTTTTCAGCTAGCTCTCTTCCAACATTAGAAAAATAACTATTTATGTCCTCAACCGCATCCAATGCGTTACAATTCCTAATTAACTCATCGGCAGAAGATTTTTTACTTGAACTATGGTGACATATTTTATTGCAGCCCAGGTTTCTTTATTTATTTGCACTTTTTAATAAGAATTTATCGTGGTTCAATTTTCTAAGTAATGAGCAACAAAAATTCCTGTACCTTTTATAGGTTATTTTAAGAATTTCATTTTGGGGGTCCCTTTTTAAATTAAGATGCAGTTTATCCCGGTGACGGATACAGCGAAGTAGGCCCGGAGTCATCCAGGGCTTAAGAGATTTTTTGCGCCTGGGTACACGGACTTTTTCAGTGTTAGCTTTAATAGCAGATGACAGAATTTCAACAAATCGAGTCGCAGCAGACTCGGCGTCTTGCTTGTTAGTCATAAAAGTAAAATCAGCCAATTCAAATATTTTATAGCTTCACTAAAATTTACTCTTTCAACAATAGAAGGGCACTGAGTATTAGTCCGTTTACTGTTAAGGGATAGATTTATTGAAAGAGTCGGATCAGTTACGGTGGAATTTATCACTATAACACTAGTTTGTAAAACAGTTTTAACCATTACATGATCGAGACAATTGCTTAATCGTGTTGGATATGTGTGGCCTGGCAGAAAACCCAATTGTGGTTAAATTTAAGTAAGAGTTACTGTTCTGTCACCGTTTCCGGTTTTATATGAATAATCACCTATTAAAAATAATTCTTAGATGATATAGATTTAACAATATCATCAAAGCATCAAAAGGCTCAGTGTAGTAAGGATGGTGATTATAAAAGCTAAAAGTACAATATCTGGTACTATTTTAGCTAGCAGAAAGTTAGCATCTTTAGGATTAGGTTCTTCAATTTCGCAATTTATATTTTGTTTAGCATAAATTATAATACCGTCATTTTGATTTAAGCATTTTTTTGTGAAATAAGAATTATAATCCTTGAGACTGGTATGGGTTTATTGTCGTTTAACCAGCATTCAGTTAAAATTATTATATCTGGATCAAAGTACAGACGAGCTATATGGGCCAAGAATGCATCAATATTTTTGTAAACGCTACGGATATTTTGTGTTATAATTTTTAGGAGTTCCTGATTTTTTTACTAAATCATTACAATTTTTTATATCACAACTGTAGGCAGTTGCCACTGTTATATTATCAATATCATTATTTATATTATCAATAAATCTAGCCATTTGTAAAATATTAAGCTTTTTGTCGCAGCTACTGTGTCTGAGAAATGCTAACATTTTTACAAAGATAAGATCTCGATTTCAACATGATCACTAGACTAAGAATGTATAATTTTTTAGTTATGTAAAATACAATACAATGAACAGAGTATAAGTATGTATATAAAGAAAAACAATAATATAATATATGAAAAAAATAAAATAATATCTATAAAAACAATAATTAAGTGCCGGATTTTTCACAAACAGGAAAGTTATCGTAGGCCGGCGGAGTTTCCTGGGGCCCTCAAAAAGTCATTGTTTTAGACGAAGTTTATTTAAATCACCCTCACTATCAATTCTAAATGCCGTTTACCTTCATCTTGTCTCAGGTAGGTTCTTCCAAATGAGGTCCAGCAGAATTTATATCCATTTTCCTGAGCAAATGCACGAGCCAGATAATTTAATCGTTTTCCGCAGGGTGATAGACATTCTGAAATAAAAAATGGCTTTGCTGGTCCTTCCAAACTTAAGTGTGCCGTGTTCAATTGTTAGCAGAATTCATTTTGTTAAATTTGGTGCCTTTTCAATAATACCATCTTTCAATATAACGCGCCCAATTCCACAATAATTGCTCCATGTCCAGTTTTACTTTTTGTACGATAAATATCCTTAATATCCTGTTTCTGTATGGGAAAATCAATAACACTGCAGCTTTTGAAGCAATGTTACATAAACTATCCTTATTTTCACCGGTAATCTTAGGAATATTTCTTAGTTCAAGTTTAGTTGAGGCAGACGTTCGTTCCAGCGACTCGATTTTCTTTTCAAGCTGATCAATATACAGACGATCTTCATTCCTCTGTTTTTCCAATTTCTCGTATTTAGCTTTCATATCTTCGTACTGCTTAGAGACAAAAAGCAATGGAGTCTTTTATTTCTGTATTTTGTGTCAAGATTTCTCTCATGGAGGATTGCAAGGAGGTGAATTTACTTTATTGAGAGTTTGCTTTAGCAAGCATATCCTTAATTTCGGTTATGAATTTTTTTAATATAGGACTCATTCTGTTGCGCCTCTAGTTACATTGCTTGCTCCTATTAGATAAATCTGGCGCGGAGCCCGAAAAAGAAGCTTTCGGCGCGTTCAACCTAGCTTCCTTTAAGTCTTCGAGAGTGGGGGTGCTGGGAGGTGTGCGTTAAGAGGCATATTTCTGACAAAAGATGACACCAGAGTACACGAAAAAATAAACTTGGACCAGCCCCCTAAAATTCCGCTACCACGCTATCGCTTATGAATTACGGCAACTTACAAAGCTTGCGTATCAATGTGGCGAGACGGAGCGTACAACTTAAGTGCTCACAAGTGTGTCCCGTCGCACCGCACTTACTGCACGCAACTCATGCGCTCCTGGTACACACCTTAATTTATTCGCACGGAATTTATTTTTAATTTGCTTTTTAAGTTATAAAACAAATAGAATGCACACGTCTAAACGCTTCCGCGTCCAGGAGGAGGGGATCTCTAAATACTGTGCCCGAATATCTTGTATATTTTGTCGCCTTTTTGAATTTTGGGAATTAGAGGTAGAGGGTTCAATAGGTGAAGATGCATGAGAATTCTTACTTCTACTTAATACTTCATTTATACCTTCAATGGACATATCATCATTGATTTCGTTATCGATTATTACACTGTCTTCTTCATCTAAGTTTAATTCGGCAGCTAAAGGCATGTACTCATCTTTCAAAAATCCTAATAGCGTGAAGTATTTCCAGGCTGGTTCATAATTTGAGGGCGAATCACCCGACCGGGGTTTAGGTATTTTCTTCAAGATGTGTCCCTCAGGTTCTGCCATTTCTTTTTGAGATCAACAATTGTAACAAATGGTTTGATTAAACTACAATATTTTAGTTAGGATACAAATAAACAGAAATAATGAAGATAGTAAATGTGTAGGTACATGAAGGAAAAATTCTTTTATGTTTCGGATTTCTCTCCCATGGGATGACTTTTAAATCTCTGGCTCAGTCATACTCTCTAAGTCGAAGCACCGTCGCCAAAACGATATATCGAACTTTAAAGGCCATTTGGAAAAAGTTGGTTTTCCAGCATATACCACCAAAATTAAGAAGTGAAGATTTGGACGTCGTTATACAAAAATGTTCCAATCCACAACTATAGTGTATTTCTCAGCTAGGCGAAAAAACGATCATTGACCTTTGAGCGGATCACAGAAATAAACAACATTTTTTATGTTTGGCATAAATTTTGAATTTTTTACAAGTTTACTACGAACTGGCACATCAATGAGCGATGAGGTTTAGTAATTATTAAACAATTATGTTAAGGTTAAACGACACCAAATTGGCGGAAAAAAAAACAGGTTTGTATGAGTATACATTAAGTATATTAAACAAGGATGTCACGTTCATCAGTGTCAGTTCCCCAATCGTTTTCTGATGATGAGGATGTGCACGAGTCTGTTACATTTATTATAAAACTGTCTACAGTTTTATCAATACTGTCGTCCAGTCTATTTAATTTTTGTTCCTCTTTCATTATGTGTTCAACACAGTTCTTCCATTTTAACTGATTTATATTATTAAGTCCTTCTTCAAGCAACCTTTTCACATCAGCCATTTTAAAAGTCGTATTATTTCTTGCCACATGGCCTTTTACATCAGCCCAGACTAGCTCAATCGGGTGGTAAGCGTAAAACTTCAATCCCAGACTGTTTAGCCATTTCGTCGGTCACGTAGGATTGGTATCTTTCCTTTACATTTTTAACTTTTTCTAGTAACTCTGATTTCGTCTCCTTAACTTCAAATATTAGTTCTTTTGAAGAAAGCCAATCTTGGATGGCTTGCTTTTTCCGGAACCGGACCGGAACACGTTCTTGGCGCCTAGAATGGTAGCTTGCATTGTCCATCACGATCACAGAATTTGGTTCGAGCTTTTCAAGAACATTTTTGAACCAGCCCTGCGATTCTGTAACTCGCTTCACACACTCTCAGCGCTGATTTTTGCTGTCAAATCGTTCGTTTCGGTGTCATGTTACAATTTGGTATTCTGATAAACAATAACCGCGACAAAAGCGCCGCTCAAATGAGATTGTTCACATTTGGAACTAAAATTTGGCACTGCTACACTTACGCTCCAAAATTGTTGGTATTTGGTATTCTGATACATACCATTTGACATCTCATCTCATTTAAATGTAGATTCTTAACGTCAAATTAAAAGTTGCTCTTCCCTCGCTGAAATCGTCATTTACCAGTGAGTTAGCCATTTTTAGCGAAGTTAAAACTTGTTTTATGTGAAAATATTCTAAAATAGGACAATCTATATGTATCTTGGGGTAAGTTTATAAAATAATATTTATAATACAGCATTATTTTACGAAAAAATTATATATATAAACATTAAGCTTCGTGAAATAGAACTTTGTTATTGTTACAGAAGGCCCGTTTCCACTTTAAAAGTTTAAACCTCTATTTCAAGAAATAAATGATGTAAACCATTAAAAAATACTTAATATAATATCTATAGATGGCGAAGAAAATGTAGGCACGAAACGACCAATTGGTTTCTCGGCGTTGGTTACTATCGCTTTTTTCCAATACTCAAGAAATTATATGGTATTGACGAAACCTAGAACATATGCTGCTGAGATGAACGAAGAGTCTAGTAAATAGATGATCTAAGGTAAACATTTTGATTACTTTAGCATTAAAAATATAATTTTTATCCTAAAACCAATTTTTCCATGCAGTCTTGATCATGTCTTGTCTCCAGCAGAGATACTAAGTCGAACAGAAAACGATAAATAAGATAGGTAAATTTTGTAATATATTTGTATTTTTCTACTATACTAAAATTATAAATCTAATAATTTCAGAGATCCCCAAATGTTCAAAATTCCTGATAGAAAAATACATTCTGCCTTTGAAGAAGAAGAATATTACATGTGTATCATACAACAAGGCCCCTGGATATAAAAAGACACAATAGTGCAGACATTTTCAAATTATTAAATTTCGACTACTTATCCTTCAATTTATAATTAACTAGCGACCCGCCCCGGCTTCGCACGGATGCAATGCTGATACTAAATTCAAAGTGCTATAAAGTATAGGGAGAACCGCGGCCTCCGACGCGCTGCGTCCCGCAATTTTTAAATTTGTAATATCCTCGAAATATTCATTTAAATCATATGCTGTAAAGGGCCATATAGATCTATATTAAGTGAACAATGTATTCAAGGTATTTAATTGGTTAAGGATTAATGCTGTATTGGTTAAAATGGCTTCGAAAATTAGCCATTATTTGTCGTAAAAAGTAAATGACAAAAAAAAGTTATTGTGGGTTATCCATAAGAGATAGACATATACCATCACGGACTTTTCTGTAGACCTTTTCAATGTGTACAATACTTAGTACATTATTTTGATAAAACTCGTAGGGTTCAGCCTGCGTTTGCAATGTAAGCGGAAAAAATGTAATTATTTACGACATCACATTAGAAACCTCAAACATAACAGTACTTCTCCACTATTTAATGGATGTTATTATACATATAAACCTTCCTCTTGAATCACTCTATCTATTAAAAAAACCGCATCAAAATCCGTTGTGTAGTTTCAAAGATTTAAGCATACAAAGGGACAGAGAAAGCGACTTTGTTTTATACTATGTAGTGATGATAACACAGTACAATTTCGGTTCCTATATTTTTATAAAATATATTGATATAACATTAAGGTTTTGCATAAAAACATTATTCTGCTTTACACAAGTATTAAATACCATCATTACATACATGATGGTTTAAGTACTTATTAAGCTTTTTTAAATTTATCGTTCATAACTATTACTTTTTACAAACTAATTAAAAAATATATTAAAATAAATATATTTGTCTACAAAATAAAGTAGATGTTATTGATTAGCTCTATGTGAGGCTGGGTTTGAATTAGTTTTTATTATACTTAAGAATGTTTTACTGAAAGTTATTTTGTAGTGTGTTAAAAGTTTACTATAATCATTAAATTAAATGTGTAAGTTATTATATTGTTCTTTTATTAACCTATAAAGTAACATGGCTTATATATTTTTCATTTCGGCTTAGCTATGTATTTAACTCGGTTACTACGTTTTCTATAGGCAGTCATTAAATAAGTGGTAGATTTAATTAATCATTTTATTAATATAACAATATTATTAGATACAAAAAAAATTATTATGAAGTACACAATTATCTTAAACACGGTAATACAATTTTTCATATAAAAATCATAGTTGTCCAAACTGCATTCAAAATAGATCTGTTTAATATCTTTTCTTAACATTTCAATAGGTAATTGGTCATTTTCTTCCTCATTCTTGACAACTACCGCTGATGACTGTAATACAATGGTTATCTGTTAAAATTGTAAATAGGGAAATGTGGTAGGTCACTGTACTGACACAATAATATTAATTATTAATAAATTAATTATTAAAAAGGAAAATAATAAAAAAACTTGCATAAAACACACAAAAACTCATATATGGGATATCTTTGTATTTCTAAGTAAAGTATCTTAAAAACATGTTTGATAATATTATAACTAAGCCAAATATTATAAAAAGTTTTATGGTAGCAAGGCTTAGTAATTTCGCACACAGCATTTGATTCAGTACTATGAATAAAAAAAATCTTGAGCAAACCTATATTTAGACTCAAAAATCCAAATCCAAGTATGTACTATAAAAACAATTATTTATTAATGAAACAAATCCAAGACCCATTAAGGGTATGTTTAGTGCTAAAGTGTAGTCAGCAGCAATAACTATCTTTTGATTGCTTCTATGTTTATTAAATAAGTTATGGCAATGTCATTTCCAACATTTAAAATTAACGTTGATCACTTGAAATGGTATGAATTTGAGCAATTGAAAGCTTATATATTTGATCCAACATACCTAACATGATTATTTATACTTGTATTCTGAAATCTGAACAATTAAATTAAATTCAACTTGATCAGTTAAAATTAATACTTCTCATATAGGAAACCTAAAAAAAATTTTTTATTTGACATTTTTAACCAACAATTTCATTATTCTTTACAATGTCGCTTCAATTTAACCTATTACATTTGACTTCAAATTTGCCATCAAACAAACTTTGTTAACTGTTTTTCTAGACACTACTTATTCCTATTTATTTACTATGATAGTTATTATATTTCTAAAATAGTTTTAATGAGTGTTAGTAAAAACATAGGTAATATTGTTATTGTGTGTTTGACCTCTGAATCACTTAAAAAGGTTGCAATAGTAGTTTCATGGCATCTAAGTACCAACACTTGCACTTACACAAATGAATAAATATATAAACACAAATTTTTCTTCTTTATAGATAGGTACCCTTTTATTTTATAATTACTCAACAAAATATTATATGAAAACATTGACCTTTAGAAACATTTTGAAAATTTAAGATACCTATCCATCCTGTTTAGTTTGAATCCTTAGACCATTTGCTGAGAGAATCACTTTTAGCGTGACATAATAATCTTTTTGTTAAGATAATATTCTTAATTTTTTTACAATATATCCAGATACTAGGTATCCTTTGTTTCGTGCTGAAACATAATTAATATTTTTAAGTTTCTGTCGCTCATATACACCACGGCTGGTCGAAGTATAAACTCTTAATTGGAAGTTATAAACAAAATACATAACTTACGATTTACTAATAAATAAACTTACTACTCACCTTTAAGCGGCCCCATTGCCAGATGGGTTTTAATAATTTTCCTCGCTGTGCTTTGGTTAAGCATATTTCTATATTAATCTTGCTAATTATTTTCCATCTGATAAATCATTTTTGAGATATTTTCACAGTTTATCTTTTTTTTATTATTCTTAATTTTATTTCAAACGTCGACCATTTTGTTTTATTAAAAATATTTTGTTTATATATGATGAAAATTTTGACAATTAACTCTTTTTATAAATAAAATGAGTCAATTGTCACGATATTAATAGACAACAACTCACTAGGTTCACTCCCTCCACTTATCAAGACGTAATGTAAAATTTCTTAACAGAATACCATGAGATTCCAAAAATTACGTGAGTGACGAAGGGAGCGCTGTTAGTGCGTAGTGGACTCACGGATTAACAGTGAGTTACAGAATCGCAGGGCTGTTTTCAAAACCATCGGCGTTCATCGTCTCGTGGTAATCTCCCGTTGCCTTATTCTCGAACACCCACTGACAACCAGGTAGAACTCCCTTTTCGTTTCCTATGTGGACTACAATCAGGCGGTTTCCTTTAGATGTGGGATTTTTTGCTCCTGTTGACACGCCTTCTAAAAAGGCTTGTTTAGCCGTTTTCACCGTCGTATCCTCCCAAGCTTTGCTCACAGTATGACCTTAAAAAAACGACATGTTTTATTGTTACTTCAGGAACAATAAGAAAGTAACCATATCTTAATTTGATGACATTGAAATAAAAAGAAATAACAATAACAAAAAACTTGAATTGGACTTTGTTACTCGTATCGTATCCAGTTGTTGTATATTTCTAAGGGAGACGGTAATAATTAAATTCCGTAGGGTAGAAAGAGAAACAAGAATGTAAGTAGACAAAGTAGACAAAAGCCGAGTCTCTACCTGGGTCAGACAGAGACAAAAAAAACTGCACATTTTTTATGAAAATAAGTTTAAAAACAAGTAGGTACCGTAAATCCATAATGTCACTTATATTATTTTCTAGGCTCGTATACATTTAGGGCTAGCGCGCACCGGTGACTTTTGTCAGCATGACAAAAAAGTTTTTGTCGCTGTCACGTCACGCCTCCAAAGCGAGGTGCGCTCACGAAAGGTGACAGTGACAATTTTTTTTTTTAAACCTTCATTTGTCGAAATGGATTTCGAAGAGACGGTCGTCATCTGTGAGCTTATAAGGAAACTCAAAAGAGAAAAAAAGCGAAAAGAATACTGGGTACACCCCCCTTTGGAGTGACAGGTTAATAAATGGAAAGTTCTACACCATGTTTCATAAACTTCGGGAACATCCAAAGAAATTTTTTGGGTATTTTCGAATGAGTGTTAGAAGTTTTGATGAATTACTTCGCAATTTAGGACCTGCGTTGACATACGAAAATACAAACATGAGATTGTCTGTTCCGGCTGAAGAAAGACTCGCTGTTACTTTGAGGTAAATATAAGTAATTAGAATATTATGTAATTTTAAATTGTTTATTTTAATGAAAATACAAAAATGTTATACAAATTAAAGTAAGTAGTTTTTAACTATAATCAAAAATCAAAAAAGTAATTGAAATGTAATATTCTTTAATTATTCTTCATGTTGGTTGATATTGTACTCCTGGCAGATGTCATACAATTCGGAATCTTCTGTAAACTCTGTAATATAGGTTTGAATTGATGATGATGAGGCGGCTGAGGAGTTTTTAGGGTCTTGCTTAGGAGGCGATGATTGTGAAGATGAATTCGGTTGAGTGTGTGCAGAGGGTAGCAAATTTTGGGAACTTGTAGATGTATGAGTAGGAGAAGGAGATAAAACAAGTTGAGTGTTTCTTGCTAAGTGGAGCGGATTTTGAGGAATGTGCGATGGAAGAGAGACAGAATATTTGGGTTTGATTTGCATATTTTGAGGGCTTGAAAATGGAATATATGTAGGAGAAGGAGATAAAGTCAGTGGAGTGTTTCTTGCTAAGTAGAGTGGGCCTTGGGGACTTTGCGATGGTAGAGAGAAAGAATATTTGGGTTTGATTTGCATATTTTGAGGGCTTGAAGATGGAATATATGTAGGAGAAGGAGATAAAGTCAGTGGAGTGTTTCTTGCTAAGTAGAGTGGGCCTTGGGGACTTTGCGATGGTAGAGAGACAGAATATTTGGGTTTGATTTGCATATTTTGAGGGCTTGAAGATGGAATATATGTAGGAGAAGGAGATAAAATCAGTGGAGTGTTTCTTGCTAAGTGGAGTGGGCCTTGGGGACTTAACAGAATATTTGGGCTTGATTTGGAAATTTTGAGGACTACCTGTATAAATTGTGGATGGGGGATAATTATTGCGCTGAGTGTTTTGTTTCTGAACTTCTGGAAAATTTGTAAAATTTTGATCTGTACGTCTAGATTTTTCTCCTCCGGGACTGCTTTTAACAACGGCACCAAAGACAGCGCAAAATGCTTTTCCTTGTCATCGTCATTACAGTCACTTTTGTTATTTCTCATAGTCTCGATAAACCTGATATCATCAACTCTTTTGTTGTTTAAAATCTCTAGAAGCCTTTCTTCGTAACATATTTTATTCTTATTTTTCTTTCGGGAATATTCTTCTCGCTGTAGTACTTCCACACTGGCATCCTGACTATCTTCTTCGCAAGCAATTTCCTCTACAGAATCAGCATTTCCTGAGGTTTCTCGGGTATCCATGCTTGGGATAAGAAATAAAAGTTGGTCAAAATTTTTGTACTTTCTTCTTTTTGTAGCGGCCTGGCCAGACTTAGTACATTTTTGCTCACGTAGCTCACGTGAAAAACAAGCCCTTAAATTCTTCCATAGTTTTTGTACAAGTTTACCTGAAAATAAATATTTAACTAGTATAAAACAGTCCGTCATTTATTTAATTTATGTATTTTTAACTTTAATTTTGTATTATGTATTTAATTTTCTTTGGTTTCAGATATCTTGCAACCGGCAACAGTTTTTACAGCATATCATTTGAATATTTGATAGGTGCCACCACTGCACGAGAAATTGTAAAATCTATATGTTCTACGATCTGGAATTTACATACACTATACATGCCTGAAAAGTCTGAAGAGGATTGGTATACTATTTCAAATCAGTTTTACCAATGGACAAATTTTCCGAACATAATTGGCGCAATTGATGGCAAACATGTGAGAATAATTTAGCCGGAAAACACCGGTACGCAGTGTTTCAATTACAAAAAGTACTTTTCTATTGTTCTGATGGCATGGGTAGATGCAGATTATAAATTTGTATACATAGATGTTGGTGCTAATGGAGCAGCAAGCGACTCCAATGTATTTCAGAATTCTGGCATGGGGAAAAGAATGCAGCAAAATCAATTGAGCATACCAGATGATCGTAATTTGCCATATGATGAAAATGGAAAAAAAATGCCATTTTGTTTGGTCGCTGATGAGGCATTTGGCTTGTCGAGGCATATTTTGCGACCATATTCAAGAAAATCATTGTCTACTGTAAAAAAAAATTACAACTATCGCCACACTAGGGCACGACGCATGGTTGAATGCACTTTTGGTATACTTTGTAACAAATGGCGAATTTTGCTGATATAATAGTAAAAACATGTTGTATTTTACATAATTTTGTACGGTGCAGAGATGGCATTCAATTTACTGACACTGTTGTCCATTAAAAGGTAATGCAACAAATCCATCAGACAGAACCATATCAGCAGCAAATATACGTAATTATTTTGCGAATTACTTTACTTCACCACAAGGGGCTGTGTCATGGCAGTATGACAAAATCTGAATTTCACCTTTTTGTACAACTGTTGTTTTAGATACAAATACTAAAAATAAAAAGATACTCACCAGCTTCAGTTTTTTCTTGTGACGACAACGTACCCCAAACTGTAGAAAATATTCTGACTGATTTCATCCCATGCTTTAATTTTCAAATTAGAATCTGAATACTCTTTCAGCTTTTTATCGTAAATTAATGCTCTTTTTTCAACTTCTTCAATAAGTAAATCATTATCGATATCCTCTTCGTGCACTTTCACGTTTTGCGTAGACGTTGACGCCATTTTGCGTTCGCTAAAGACGACGGTCCGAATGCAAATGGCGGAAGAACTACATGTTGAGTGACAATTTTGTTGCCCGTGCGCGCGCTGCTATAAAAACCTAGCGGCGTGGTGACAGTTTCGTCACGGGCTTGTCCGCTGGTCGGCGGACAAAAATGTCACCCAATTGTCACGTCGTAACGTGCGCGCACCTCCATACATACTAATAGACTTGATGTGAGTGACGAAACAGTCACGGTGACAAAAGTCACCGGTGCGCGCTAGCCCTTACATTTGTCTTTCTCCTACAATATTTATAAATTTTTAAATATACGAGCGAGAGCGCGAGAGAGTGTGAAGTTATTTATTATCTCAGTTTACAAAGGATTTTCGTGTAGAACTAACCTGCATTCACCCAAGTTTCATCCAAATAATAAATTGGTCGTCCTTCTTCTCTATATTTTCGAATCTTTTTGAGATACTTTAAGCGCCTCTATATCTATATATCGGGCCTCTCAATCAAGGCGCTGTTTCTTTTTTTGGTGACATACTTAAATTTTTTGTGTTTCAGCATACGTAACATCGATGTGCGGCTGAAATTGGGCAACATGTCGTCTTCATTGACAGCCTGTAAAATTTTGTTTATTGTTGGCATCTCACCCTTTAAAAAAATTTCGTGAACTTTTTTTCTTATACACGATTTGTCGAAGTCGTCAATCGTTTCGATCAAATTAGGACGCTTTATTAATGGGGCTGGTGCTTTTACTGTGCCACATTCCTTATATTGATTTAAAACAGGGTAGACAGTAGTCTTTCCAATGCCTAAAATATCCGCAGTCTTCTTTTTCATGTCAATTTTTGATTTATATTTATCAACAGGCCATGTTTCTTGTACATATTTGAAAACATTAACAATCATATTTTTTTCGTTTTCTGAAATATGTGACACCTTGCGCTTCTTACGTGGTGACGTAAAGTCTTTAAACGGTTTTGATGTCGATGGACCTGGCTCCATGTCGCATCAAATGTTGTAAAACTCCGTAACACAAGTCACACACGAAAACAAAAGTAACAAAACACAAACTTAACAATGGAACAAATAAATATACTTTATAACCAATATTATCCACCCACACTCGACGAACTCGCAAAGCGGAATGCGCTAAACAAGCCGCAAGCGCCGCCGTCCGAATGCATGCCTCTCCCTTCCTCGCACGAACCTCGCTCGTCCGTAGCAAGTTGAAACAGGTTTTTTATCTCTGACTGACCGGAGTTCTCAACCCACCCCGTACCTATAAACACGCTTCGATATCCAAACGATAGAAATGTAAGGCGAGCGACGGAATGCGACACGGATCGTTATATTTTTAAGGTAACATGGTACTTCGTGTCAATGATCGTTTTTTCGCCTGACTGAGAAATACACTATAGTTGAAACCACTATAAATATATTTTTGTGTTTTGACTCGGCATTTTTTTGTTTGAACTAGGATAATTCAATACTGTAGGTTTTATTTAAGTATTTCAATAATACTGTTCTATCATAATAGTATTATTTCGAAATTTCTGTTTGAAATATAGTTATTTTGGAAAAAATAGTTTTGGAACGTTTTTGAAAAATATTTTTGTATGAAGTAGCACTCGGTATATTTTGTAAAAACGTTCCACATTTTTTAATCGTCATCAGTCTAGAGATGGGTTGTACTAGGTAAATTTGATATCAGATACACCTGTTCCTAATCCACATAAGTACCTAATCCAAATACCTATTCCACCTAATCCACATAGTACTGCGTATTGTATTGAGTGAATATGATATGACGCAGTACTTTATTTACTACGTACTATTTACTTTACTATGCTAGTTTTATAAGTTTTCTTAGTTAATGAATTGTAATCTTCCCTTCATACTTCTACAGGCTTAGGACTGTCAGCTTAAAATTTAGTTTTAAGCAGGCGTATTTAAAAGATTTCAATTCATTTTATGTACAAGTATGTTTTTGTCACATTTTTTTTTTTTTTTGTCTTTTTTAATTTTGTACATTATTTATTTACAAGTATTTTTTTTATTCTTTAGGCTTATAAAATATTTTTTTTACTTTTTTGTCTTTTTTTAATTGAAGAAATTGTATTAAATATTTAACTACTTATTTAATTTAGCACTTAATGTAAAGAGAAAAAAAAAAAATAATAATTTTTTATTTATTTTTCAAATGTAAACTTATTATTGACTATAATGACTCCTTTCGTTTTTTTTGTTTTGTATGTACAACTATTAATTTACAAATATATTACATAGTCCGCGTTTGCTCTTAACAATTTTTATATTTTTTTTTCTTTGGAAACCCCTTAATATATGTATGTACAATGTGCTACATATTACATACAGTTATACACTCGACAACAGGCTGCGCTATGTATTTTGATGAAGAAACATCAGCTGTTGCACTTTTCGAGTGCCTAGTCTAGTTCGTCTGTCATTTAGGAGCAGGCCGCAAGCTGAAAATAATCTTTCGCATGGAACACTCGTAGCCATTGCATTTAGTTTTGTAATAGCCAGAGCGTGTAAATGCGGATACACATCTTTCCTTTGTTTCCACCACTGTAATGGTGAGATTTTTTCAGTAGGCAACACAACTTTGTCTTCTAAATATCTTTGCACCTCTATGATTGCCCTCGATGACGCAGTTCCTTTCGGTTGGATATTTTTCATTCTCTGTGTGTAATGTTGCCATACTGAAGAGATCTGCACCTCCCCTGAAGTAGAGGTACTTGGTTGTGTTGAAGTGGACTCCTGAAGCTCCATTAAACCATTTTCGTTTTGGGATGACTGTGAAACGCGGTCTTCTTTGTGAATTTGAGCAGTCACGAGCTGTATAACATTTTGTTTCGTATTTTCCGCTACACTTGGATCATCGAAGTACAACTTGAATCTAGGATCCAGGAACATGCAAACTGTGAAAGTGCGGCTTCTGTCCAAGTTAGCAAACCTAGTTTTTATAGCGCCTAATAAGTCTTGTTTAAACATTTGGGCAGTTTCAAGATAGGAACTTGTATCCATATTTTCCAAAGAGGCTATAAGTCCCGTTGTGATAGGTATAACAATACTTCCCGAAACATATTTTTGGGCGCTCACTTCTTTGGTCACTTCTTCAAAAGGTTTTAAAATTTTGGTCACATTTTCACAAAGCTCCCAATCAAATTGGGATAGTGACATAGCACTGGCATTTAAATTACATAAAGAACTATTAATCTCTTCTTTGATTTCGAGAATCCTTTGCATCATGTAAAAGATGGAGTTCCACCTTGTACTCACACTCTGCAGTGGTCTTTTAACAGTCTTTCCGGCCTGCTCCTGATACTTCTTCAATTTTTCCCACGCTTTGGCGGATCTTTTGAAATAACTGACAATCGTTTTTATTTTGCCCTCCAATGCAGTCACTTCCTCTGACTTCGACATCGCTTCTTGTACGGCCAGATTGAGAGAATGGGCGTAATAGCCAAAATGCTTCCAGCCTAAATCCTTTTCTATGGCTTTTTTAATATTGGATCCATTATCCGAAACTGCCAGCAGAATTTTGTTCGCCACTTGCCACTCCTCTGCTACTCGCAACAGCTCCGTTGCTAAATTAATACTTGTGTGGGAACCATCCAGAAGCACGCATTCAAGTAATATGGACTTAAGCACATACTCATCTTTGTCAATATAATGGCCAGTAACACCTAAAAATGAATCATTGGTACTTGAAGTCCAAATATCAGCTGTGATGCATATTGACTCAACATTTCGAAGTTCGACCATTTTTATTTCCCGCAAACTTTCATAACGGCTCGGTAGTAAGTTGTTTGCAAAGTACTTGCGTGTGGGAATTATATAAAATGGAAATGCAGACTGAATCAGTTTTCTAAAACCCCTGTCTTCTACAATGCGGAATGGTTGAAAGTCCAGAATAAATAGATCCATGATCAATTGATCGATATCGGATTTACATTTATCGGCGTTCTTCTTGTAAATATATGCAGCTATAGTTTTTGTGCCTGACTGTACTACACGCACTGTACCAGTATTACTGGTACTAGCTGCTGGTGATAATCGATCGTTTGCGGTCGTATCACTTGATGAAGTCGTTGCCGTTGCCACCTGTGATGATGGTGATTCCGAGTTAAGCGATATGGAAGCTGACGTCGAAGAATTTCGTGGCACTAAATTGACCAAAGGATGCTTCCTTTTCAAATGTTTTGTCAAGTTAGACACAGAACCTTTAAAACTTAACTGAGTCTTACACATTTTGCACTCGGCCATGTACTGATCCTTGTCCTTGACCACAAAATGGTCCCACGCGACACTACTCCCCTTTGGAGCCATTTTTTTTACAAAATACGAAAGTTTTTCTGCACTAAAGTTCACTAAACAAACTCAATCATAACAAGTCACAGCTTGCATCGCCCAAATGACGAACGACACTAACTAAGTGTTTGTTTACATTACATGCAAATTTATTGTTTTTCTTAACCGAACAACAAACAAAGACAAAAACAGGTAACGTTTCTATGTGTTAGAAAAGGAAAGCTATTGTTTTGTGCGCTCGCCGCCGGCCCGCGAGGCCCGAACAGCCAGCGAAACAAACCGGATTTTACCAGTCTCACGTCCCGCGCCCCGCACCCCGCCCGACCGCTGACGCGCGGGCGCGGCCCGGGACTACACTACTCGCTAGTCGCTACGCTACCTCTTGGATTAGGTGGATTAGGTACTGCGTCCATTGGATTAGGTGCGGCCTAATCTCGAAAAATACCTAGTACTTTTATCTGATCTAATATTTTCGACTCACCTCTACATCAGTCGTCGCAGCGCAGCCGTGCGAGTGACACGCGCATAACCTAACACGAGCTTATTAAGACAATCTAATCATGTCGAAGTGTGACCAATGTAATAAAAAGTTTTCTAAATCGTTGCCCGGGTGTGAATGTGCCCGATGTGAAAAAATGGTACACCTAAATACCAGATGCAGCGGTCTTACCAACAAACAGATAACTGCATTAAAGGCGGCCCCAAGCCTAGTTTGGACCTGTATGGAATGCCAGCATGAATCCCCGAAGCGAAACTTCTCTTTGTTTCTTACAGAGGATACAGAGGAGGATATAACTATGGACACTAAGGGGCTAATCTCCAAGGAGGTGGAAAAAAACTATAAAGAAGGAAATAAGCGAATTTAATTAATCCACAAAAAATTAAATCATCTTTCCTTAAACTCTTCCTCAAACTAAGTCCTCAAAATAAAAATAAATTATACTCAATATTTATATATTGAGTATAATTTATTTTTATTTCTTTGGCATTTATCCAGCTTACTTTACTTTTGTCACTAAATTTTTTTCTGTTCATTATATTTTTTTCAATCTTTTCAGTTCCATAAAAATCTGCTTTCTCCATTCTTTGTACTTGCAACGGTTTCTTTTTTTTAGCATTTTTAAAAATATCTATATGCTCTTCGGTTGTATATATACGCTGGTGATGTTTTAAAGCAGTTTCAATTTTAGACAAGTCCGTATCGTAGGTAAAAAGGTATGCTCAGATTCAAGAAAGCGAAATGTAATGCTTTCTAATGTTGGATGACAACTTAAGACAGTTTTTAGTAAGAGAACTATTTTAATGTTCCTGTTTTGCCCTCCGCAGCAATCGCTCATATAAGATTCTTAACAGACGGCTGTATTTTTGTTTTAATATATTTCACTAAACATGATCCTTCCTCCTGCGCCCCTCTACCCGCTTCACCTTCGACCCAAACATAGCAGTTTCCTACGTCATCAGATGCAAAGTGGATACCACTATTGTAAAGCCACAGTTGCCTTTTATAAAAGGCAACATTTGTTAGTATCCGCGGTAGTGGCAATGTCTTTTCCAAGTCAAAGGTTAAACACTCAACATCCGGTATGTTTCTTGTTTCTGATTCATCTGATTTCTGAACATTTCTGCTCTTTCCAAATGGTTAAGCTTCTCTGTTTTAGCATCTTGTTGTTCCTGTTCAGTTTTGACATTAGAGATTTGATTGAATAATTGGTCACACTTATTGCAAGTATCTTTTTTATTTTTTTACATTTTAAATTAAAATCGGCATAGAAAATCTTTTTCTATGTCGCAAAGAGGCGCATTTGCGATCGATACCATACATTTCTGCGTGTTCTTTTGTATATATGTTACAGTTAACACTAGTTTTTAGTTAAAACTCGTTTTCCCTAGTTAAAAATAGTTTTTACTAAATGCCTTTGTCAAAACTAGAAATAACAAGTGAAAACTAGAATTTACCACTGATATAATTCATTTTCTGATAAAACTAGTTGTCACTCCGAGCTTTAGTTACAACTAACACTAGAGAAACTAATTTGAATTTTGGGATTGAAAACAAGATAAAGTTTTAAAAATATTTATTAAAAAGATCTAGGGTATAGAAACATAGTACCGTACCTAGTAAAAAAAACTTACACTAAAGGAACATTTTAGGGAACATCAGCATAAAGTAGTTGCCAAGGTGACAACATTAATTAAAAGTAAATAAAATAATCAAACAAATCAACAGAATACAACCATAAAATTTAAAAAAGGAACATTATAATAATATTTTTAAGGGATATTGGTAAACATACAATAAAAAAATAATCAAACAACCTTAAAATTAAAAAAGATGACGATCTACTTGTTATTGCAAGACAAACTATCGTGGCATTTTGAATTACAAAGGTAGCCATTTTTCTTGCAGAGACACCTTTTTGACATACATCCTTTCTTACATACGCAGCGCATAAATCCCTGGCCTGTTCCTATGAATGCTTCCTTAGCAACAGTTCTCAAAGGTAAATTTGTATTAGGAACGTCTTCTTCATGCAAAAATGCCTTGGTCGGAACAGTTTTAACTGACTAACTTCGAAAAAACGCGTTTTGTCTAGTAATAACTAGTTTTAACTGATATTCAATTGTGAGCATTAGTTAATTCTAGTTTTAACAAAGGCGTTTAGTAAAAACGCGTTCTAACTAGGAATAACGCGTTCTATCTAAAAACCGGTTTTAACTGTAACATATATATCATAAATTTTATTTATTGCCATACCGGGTCGTAAATATAAAGTGCCACTGTTATTATTACTTCGATAATGTGACTCGTATTTCGGAATATTATTAATAATATCAACAATGAATTAATGATCCTCATCTGTTAACTTATTTATGTCACCTCTATGTATTCCCCTACCAACTGCAAAAGGTTCGCCACTTCTACGTTTTTTTAATGACACTGACTTTTTGAGTCGTCATTTGAAAAGTTTTTCAAAGATACTTTATTTCTCAAAGAATTACATTCACTTAGCGAGAAAATTTAGAGTAAGTTAGTTATGTACATCGTGTTATGAAATTATTTGAAAATACACTATATAAAATAAAAATATTAGTTCCTAACAATATGTACCATATTTGTTACAAAAGTGCAGGTAGGTCGCATCGATGTTACAACAGGCATTATGTGACAATGAATAGTAATAATTTCTAAGATGCTCGTTCGCAGACATAACGTCTTTGATCTTATAGACTCGATAGAATTGTCTGGGTTTTTTTCTTGCACCGGGTACGTTACACATAGTGTAACTACGTTTTTTGCGCGCGCGACGCTTTTCTATATACATCATTGTGTCATCAACCTTCACCGCGATTACTCATTAAATCAGTTTTTAAGTGCAAATCTTTTATTTAACTATCATTAAAGTGTTTGGCAGCAGCCCGAACATTTTTGGTCTTTTTGGTGTATGAGGCTCTCGAGTCGTTACAAAGAAATATCAAAAAAGACTCCGTGCCCCGCGGAAAGAAAGTCGCTACCGGACTATGCTAGGAGTAAGTTAGCTAATCTGGAAGACCTGTGGTCTGACTTTCAACGAAATCACATACAGATGTGTGCCTACGAAGAAATCAAACAACATCCGTACATTATCGATTCCGAATATCAATTGGCAACAACTTTGTATGAATCTACAAAGGCATTAATCAAGCAGATACAAGCAAAAGGTTCTGTCCAATATCCCATATTAGTAAAGGCATCTGGTGTAAGGGATCGGGCAGCCTCTCCACTGTCAGCTAATAAGCCAACAGCAACCATCGTGACTCCCGACGCAGCAGCACAGCATAATGAAGGTAATCAGCCTAGTCAACACCAAACATCGTCTTATGTCACATATGAATCAGCACAGCAAGCAGAACCCCCGAAATCCAACGGGAAACTTCGGAAGCTCCTTAGAAAGCAGATATCAAACTTCAAAGCATTCGAGAGAACAGTCAGCAACATAGATTTAAGTAGCATGTCCGAAAAATGGGAGTTTGAATGCACCCTAAAATCATTACAGAAGCGCTGGTCAGCTATTGACTCTCTTCACTGGGAGGTCGACATGTACCAAGAAGGTGAGGATGAGGTATATCGAAACGTATTTTCTAAGCATGAACGAATATACAACGAGTACATCAAATCAATCAACAGCAAATTATAGTCATTGCACATCGCGAGTATTCTACGCCCAAAATGGATATTCCAGTTTTTACGGGTAACTACCAGCACTGGACCTCATTCAAGGACCTTTTCCTAGAAACAATCGACCGCAACCCGTCCTTATCAAACGCACAAAGAATGCAGTTCTTGAAGAGTAAGGTAAAAGGTGAAGCCGAAAATTTGATTCGTCACCTACAAATCAGTTCTAATTCACCAGCTGCAGGGCCGGTGATAATCTTCGCAACTATTAAATTATCTTTTAGCTCCTTTATAAGAAGTCTCGTGCCATTACACATGTTGGGGGGTCTTAAATTTCTGAGAAGCATTATCGGCGTGCCAACTTTTAACGAAAGTTCATGAGGTGGAAGCCCAGCGGGGTTCAGAGAATTTAAAAATTCCTGGGGGTAGTGCACTGCGTCCTCGATGTTAGTGACGGTGTCTATGGATTTATAGCACTTAACTTCACCCGGTACTTTCTGCATAATTAAATTGTTTATTTCGTTGACTTATGGGGGTGTAGGGTTGGTATAAATGAAACCCCATATATTTAAACACACATGTATATTCACTGCACTTAATAAATTAATACAATGTTTAACTATTATTGTTGGCTTGTGTCGCGATACGTGGCGTAGGTACGATCGTACGACCTGCCGGCGACGAAGCTCGGTAATGACTGGCGTGAAGCGTCTCCCGCGCAGTGTTGCCAGTCCCCACATCAGCCCCCCCGGAGACCTATAGGTCGTAAAAGTGGCGCGGAAATCGAACTCTTCTGCCTGAACGAGTTACATAATCAGGCTTCTTTGCAGGGGGCATACTGGGAACTGCAGTGGTGTTATTGATAGGCTCCTCTTCAGTCAATATGTGTGCCGGTCCCCACAGACTGTTTCATTCCTGGGAGAAACTATTGCTCTACAACACAGCCAACGAAAATCATTTTGATGTAAGTTTTCGATGTCAGGATATATAGCATCTATCAGACTATCTAAATTATAGACTATTTGCCCTAGAGACTCATCCAAAGTAACCGCATAATCGGTGCCCAAATTTAAAGATGGAAAAATTCCTTCTCCCAGTTTAAGCAGCTGTTGTGGAAAATTGCTATGCGTATTTCCATGTAGATGAGCTCTCATATTAGTACGCAAATTCAAATGTTGAACAGATGTCCAAAGGTGAGACGATTTTAAACATGCCTTCATAATATCTGCTCGCGTACCTCTGTTGACGACAGGAAGCGTTTGTCGGAAATCTCCAGCAAATACAAAAGTGATACCACCCATGACATTAGCAGAGCTTCGGAGGTCTTTTAAAGTACGGTCCACGGCCTCCACATGAGCTCTATGACTCATGGTGCATTCATCCCATATTACCAACGACGCGTCTTGCAGCAACTTACCAAGCAACTGCAATCGCTATCTTCCCTGATTGCCGTATCTTAGCAAGTATCAAATTTGCGAGAAAAGTCTTTCCGGTGCCTCCTGGTGCGTCCAAAAAAAATAATCTCCCCATGTTATTGTTCACGCTGTCCACAATAGTCTCATAAGCATGTCTTTGATCTGGTACTAATTTTGGCACATTGTCATTAACAAACGCTGTTAGATCATTGCTGTTATACTGTTGTACCATTGTGTCAATAGTATTATTCTGGGTACGAACGGGAGAAGGTAATCCAAAATCTCTTAAATTTTTGTTTTTTAATTTGTGAATTAGATGAAAGGGTTACATATTTAAATAAAACATTTTTATTCCAGGTATTATTCTTTTATTTATATGTCAATTTATATTACTATACAAATTTAGTAGCACCACATCATTGTTCTCTGAGTCACATGTAAATTTTCTAAGGAAGTCTTCTAATCTCATCTTCTGAACTTGTAATATACGTATACCAAACAGTACTCTCCGCACACCGCCGATAGATAATCCTGAACCGTAACGCTATTGTACTTCCACACGCAACAATTCTTCCTTAAAAATCCTTCTATTGCTTCAATAGGTTTACGTCCAAACGAATCAAAGTATTCCCCAACTCTTTCGACGTTTATATGAATAGCCACCCAATGAGACCCCGGCTGTGAATCAGGGTCAAGATTGCATATTATAAGTGCTGGCACCTGAGCACACATCGGCAATCGATTTGAAGGATATACGTTGCTCTGCAGGCTGGAATGTATACTACGAAGACTCATTTGCACTTCTAGTGTGTTCATACTTTAATACGCGTTTACTCTCCTACTCTTTTACTGACTACATTTCGTACTATCATTTCATATTTGTATATTGTGTTCCCTCTGGTAGTGTTAAACGTTGGCGTCCCGCCCTGGTTTAAGATCTCCAATCCGGCGCTATGAAGGTCGCCTCTGCCTCTTCTCCCCTCTCGTTGGTTATCCTATCCCCCCACCAGACGTTTCTGGCGTTTACGTCCCCTCCCACTATTGTTCTCCGTCCTAATTTCTCGACGACTTGTTTCAGTGTCTGGAGGTGCGGACTTAAGGGGTTCGGATGCGGTTCGAAGTATACCGAGACTAGGTTGAGTTTTCTTCTTTCTGTATCTACAGATATGGCAACCATATTCGGACTGGATAACTCGGGGTATTGTGTGACATGGATTTTATTGTCTGGTACGACAATAGCCGCTTTGGTATGATTGCCAACCCCGGTGTGTTGGTAGACTCTTGTGCCCGTGTAGTCCTTCATTCTTCTTACCGCTCCGATGTAGGGTTCTTGTACGAGCACGATGGAGATACGTTGTTTTTTGGCCTCGATAATTAGCTCCTCCGTGGCGAGTGCAGATCTCTGTACGTTTTCTTGTATTACTCGGATTTCGCCTAGGGAAACTTTAGCAGTACGCCACTGGCCAGCGCATCCCACTTCACTGGGCATTCAGTACTAAACGCGCTGTGGTGTACGTTGTCCATTCCTACTCTTTTACAGTTTGCACATTCTGGTGACTTATCTTTGCTTGGGCAGTCTGCCCTCAGGTGCTCTCCTGTGCACTGGGAGCAGGTCAGTTTTCCCCCTTGGCAGTGCTTCCTCGTGTGTCCGTATCCGAGACATGTGGAGCACTGCACAAGGAGGGACCGATCCTCCACCCAGACCCTCTGGATGTCAATGTGGACCTTCTGCGCCCGGGTCAGCGCTTTCCACATCCCCGGGGAGACCTGAACGATGACGTGGCACTCGTGCGTGTTCCACATTTAGCATTTTGTCGATGCTTTTCCGTCATGACCCAGTCCTCACCGGTTAGGTTTCCAGTCTTTGCCTTATTCTGTGTTTTAAGGGCTTTCTTTATGTATTCGAGGGTGTTGTACTTCAGTATAACCTTAAATTTTTGTATAACCCAAAGGTTCAGTATAACCCAAAGGATTTTTGTTATTAAGCTCCTTGGCCGTGAGTCCGTTATCTCCGTGCGTTCTTTCCCTCACCCTTGTTCGTTCCTCCTCAGTTCCGCAACCAATGACCACCCTTTATTTTTTGGAGTTTTTCAATTTTAAAGCCATTGTCTCTTGCATTAAGGGAGCATCTAATTTTTTGGACTGTACCTCGGCCGCTTCGGTTTCTTCCCCGGCTCGACAATCAAGGAATACTGTCCAGTTTCCCTTTGGTCGTTGCTTGCGGTTCTGCCACTTGATCCTTCGGCGCAGTCGTTGCTACTGCTGCTACTTAAGGTTTTCTATTCTTTTGTCCAGTTCACCTTCCTTCGCTGTTTCCTTCCTTTCTGGTTTTTTGGCTTCCGCTTGGTTCGTGACTTTGCTCGGCTGATCATCTCTCTTATCTTTGTCCTGAAGTTCTCCATCCCGTACTAACTCGTACAGCCTTTTGACTGCGGCCGTTACCGCAGTTTTAATTTCTCCTAGTCGCGCTTGAAGACGGCGATGGCTTATTTTTGGTCGGCGTTCTAATGCCAAACATGTTTGGTTTGGGTCAAGGCACACTAATACCTGATATGTACTTATATGCTGTATGTTAACTAAATTATATTTGCAGAGCATTAACCTCAATTTCATAGCACGAGAAACAATCCTCAAAGTCCTAGACTGTATGAGGTCTAGTTTTCTAAAGCCAGCTACATTACCTGGATCTAAAAAAGGTCCCAAAATCCAGTATACTTCTAATGACAGCATTATACACCAACCTCAATGTGGCCGGGTGAGCACCCCACCAAACTCCACTGAGACATCTCAGCATGTTCAAGTGTCGCTTACATTTACCAACTACAAATTCGCAGTGTGGTTGACCTGTTAGTTTAGAATCAAGGATAGCTCCTAAGAAAATTTCTTAGGAGCTATCCTTGATTCTAACTGATTCTGATTCTGAATTCTTGATTATTAACGGGTAATATATCATGATCAATGATCAAATGTTATAGTAGGTGGGGGAGGAGTTTGGGATTTAGTGAAGAGTACAACGGTACTTTTTGAGGGAGAAAGATCTAGGCCATTCGCATCCATCCAGGATTTTAGCAAAGATAAAGAGGAGGAAACATGTTTTTCAGCAATACTTACAGACATCTCAGAGGCAAAAATAACCAAGTCATCGGCATATTGTAATAAACTAAATGAATAACCGATTGAATGATCTAGGTCATGTTTATAAATATTGTACAATAAAGGACTCAAAACAGACCCTTATGGCAAGCCCCTCCATACCAGCCTACTAGACATGTCAGGGCAGCCAACATCTAAAATAATTTTCCTCACCGAAAGAAGATTTACAATAAAATTACTTTTTAGAATATGTAACAAAACGATGTCATAAGCAGAAATAATAACCAAGAAAGCAGTGACTACTGACTTTTCATCTGAGAAAACATTACGAATGTCCGTAACTAATATGCCTAAATTGTCACACATACTTTTACCTTTTCGAAATCCAAACTGAGTTGGGGACAGATATTCGTTATTTTCTATATACCATTCAAGCCGATTTTTAATTAAATGTTCAACAACTTTTGTTATCACCGATGACAAGACAATCGGACGATATGATTTAATATCAGATCGTACCTTAGACGGTTTTAAAAATGGCAGCACTATTTGACTTCGCCAAGATGCGGTATGTCATTTGTCAATAGAACTTAATTTATTAAATTTAAAAAGAAATTTAATCCATTTTCACCAAGGTGAGACAGAAATGAATATGGGATCCCATCATCCCCAGGAGCACTGTCTTTGACGTAATTTAATACACTTTTTAATTCCACTAACGTGAAAGGTTAGAGGGTATAGAGCGGCATCAGAGTTATTTTGTTTAGAAGAGTGGATAAGATCTCTAATGGAGCAGAAGGAGGAACCAAGCGATCAAGGAATTGATCAGCTAATTCTATAGGAAGCAACGACGCGTTAGGATTGATAGCTGACCTAAATCTTTTGATATTTCGCCAAATTACAGTAGCATGTGTACTAGGTAATAAGGTGCTACAATATTTCCTGCACCCCTCAGATTTTTTTTTTTAATAGTTTTTTAACCTCTTTCATTACAGTCATTAAGGCCTCGTAGTTTTCTATATTTGCGATAATTACGCTCAGCTGCCTTGCGTTTCTTTATTGCTGTGGTACATTCTTCATCCCACCATGGTGGAGATGAACAAACAGCTTTTAAATAATTACTATCTGAGACGTTAAGTTCTGAGCAACTATTAATTTTCTCTTCTACTAATAAAATGTATTGACTCCTATGACTGACTAAAGAGTTTTTAATTTTTTATTTATTTATGTTTTTTCCCACATCATTATTATATCTTTACAGTTATTACTAATGCGATAGAACAACACATTAATTATCCCCACACCCCAACCTGCATAAAAAAAATTACAAAAATAAATTTATATACCTAAATCTAATAACTAATAATATAGGAAGCAACTCTTGTGAACTCAGCCAGTTTACAAACAAATAGGTCTACCTCAACAGAAATTCTATTTATTATATGTATTGCACGGGTTAGTGGCGCTTCGCTAACCAAGTTGGAATGTGCGCGCGTGTATATACAAAAGTTGAGACTTCCGCCTCAGGTTTTTACTTGGTCTTGGTAGACCCAGTCTCTCCATTATATCCAGATTATGAACCCGACCCGTAAGTATCTTAAATATACTGACAAAGCTAGCTCTCTTCTGATGCGTAGCTGGTCATAACCCACCATACCCATAACAAACATGGTGGGGTACATAAGCGGATACACTCAATACAGTCTCTTGTAGAGGTAACGGGTTAATTTATTTTGGACTCTCTCTAACATGAGACTATTTAGCCTCATATGGGTCCCGCACCATTGCGTTGCACTCCAAGTGACTTCTAACTAACGCATTGTATAAAATTTTAATTGCACTGATATTCGTGAAGCCACAAGCTATTCGTAATATGAGGAGCGTTCAAAACGTATTTTGTCCATACTAATAAAAAAAAGAGATTACATTGTCTACCCTTCAAAAGCAAGGCTAGAAAAATACCAGGAACAGGTGGATCAAAAACGTTTTGTTCCCTTACGAAATTGAATGTGAAACTAAGGCACTGTTTCAAATAATGTTTTGTCCATTTTATGTAGTGTTTCAAAACGCAACTTGTCCAGCTGTCAAAAAAATATAACAAAGCCCTATTTCAATGGTGAACATTTTGCGACATTTTGGAAGGTCTGAGTGTATTTTATATTGATTTTTGCTCAATTAAACATGGAACAAGCAATTTTAGTAGGGGATCACTCCGTTGGATCAGAAAGAAGCAGAAGACTAAAACTAAGAGGCAATTGCAAAAAGAGAATAGGTATGTCACATTCCGCATTCTGAAGTTACAATTTCTTGTTTTACGCATTGTGTCCTAATATCTTAAAAAAATAAGTTTTGGGCTCTGATATGCTTTTTTTTTTGTTTCAGACATGAAATAAAAAATCCGGAAATGACAAATTTTGTCAGTCATTAGCGGCCTTCACACGTACAGTTCGAACCGTAGGAAACAGCCCGCGCCATTCCGATCTGCTGTCAAATCCGTCCGTGTAGACGCGACAAGCGCGTCATGCGCGTGGTGGTTTGACACTTTTTGGCGGGAAGTCAAACTAAGCGGGTGTTTTAAATTTTGCGTTCTTTCAATAATTATTTTTTTTTGTATATTATTGTTCTTTTTTTTCTGTAAATAGAAAATTTGTAACATTTTGTAAATAGTAGATAATAATGAGTGAAAACAGGGTGGGCCCCCGGTGACAAAGACGCCAAAAAAACAAAATTAGAGGTAACTAATGAAAACTATAAAGTGTTTACCAAACCAAACTATAAAAGACAATTTCCAGACAACCATAGCACGGATTGTGTGGTTTATGTAGAATCACACGAAAATGAAAAGTTATTATTCACGGACAATGTTAAAGAAATAGTGGGAGTACACCGAGTGAATGCTCACAAAATAGGCATCACTTATAAAAAACCAGCTCCGGCCAATAATTTCCTAAAACTGGACAGTTTTTTAGAAAGACACAAACTTAAAGCTTTTGTTCCATCTCACCTGACTGAAGCGACGGGCGTCATACGATATGTGCCCAAGGAGCTAACAAATGCGGAAATATATAAGAACATAATGTGCGACACGGAAGTGATTTCCGTTAAAAGATTCATGAAAAAAGTTGACGGAAAACTGGTCCCGCTCGGCACGATTTCAGTGACTTTTGCTGCCACAACGCTGCCCCAATATGCATATATACAGATGTTCAGATACCCGATCCACACGTATATTCCACCACTGCTACAATGCTTCAGATGCTTCAAATTCAATCACTCAGCTCGAGTTTGTCGCGGAGAGCAAATGTGCTCGTCATGTTCCGGCCGGCACTCCTACAAGGAATGTGACGTAGATGAAATTATATGTATTAACTGTAATGGCAATCATTTGGCAATCTCCAGGGATTGCCCCATTAAAAAGAAGAAAATGGAGGAAAAAAAGAATAAATATCTTAATCTCAACAGAAGTTATGCCACTGTGGTGAGTACAGCTCCCATAGCCCCTCAGATGTTAGACCCTAAAGAGTTTCCGGCTATTACTAAGCCAAACAATAAAAATGTGACTACAGGCCCGTTCAATGCACAGCAAATTCTCGATAATGACATTATCATTAACGCCATAGTAAAATCTCTTATTACTCTGGGTAATGATAAAAACGACACACCCATTACAAATAAAAAGATCAAAGAAATACTTTTAGCTAATTTATTAAACTAAATAATGGATACATTTTTGAACATAGCACAGTTTAATATACAAAGCTTACAGAGTAAGAAAGCCTTATTGAATAATTTTTTATCGAAACATAATATTGATATCTGTTTATTAAATGAAACTTGGCTTAAAAGCACTAGTATAATTCCAAACTTTGCACCATATAATTTTATACATAAAAATTCAGTTAATACCCATAATGGTGTGGGTATACTAATCAAACAAAATTTACAGTATGATATAGTGAACACTACTTTTCATGAATCCGTTCAAAATATCTGTGTAGCTGTAGAAACATTTATGGGCAAATTGCACATTCTTTGTGTATATTGCCCTCACAATAGTGATGTTAACAGGTTTAATATTCGCACAATGAAAAAGGTTTTACTTGAAGTACCTAAGCCATGTATAATAATGGGAGATCTAAATGCACACCATATAGTTTTTGGATGTCAATCAAATAATAGTAGAGGCAATAGTTTATACAATCTCATTGATGAACTAGACTTGTGTATTTTGAATGATGGGAGTGCTACAACTGTTCAAATTCCAAACAGAAATGCATCTGCTATTGATGTTACTTTGGTTAACCCAGCAATAGCTCCTCTTTGTGAATGGCGAATTCATAATGATTCAATGGGCAGCTACCACTATCCAACTCAGGTTGTTGTCAATGGGCGTGTTTGGCCGAAGTAAGTACTTACTAAACTTAGTAAGCCAGTAAGCATAAAAAAATTAAAGTCTTACAAGCTGACTGTAGCGCTTTTCGGCCAGGACAGACTTACTGGCTTATTAACATAACACAAAACACCGGTTTATGTCATATCCCGTACATAACCTCATAGACTGAATATAATTGACAGTACTAAATTTAGGAATATAATTTAATACCTGTGAATAGTTTCAAATGGATAATTTTATGAGAAATTTTTTATTGGAAGAAATATTAAATGACCCAGTGGATAATATCGATAATTTACTGAATCAATATCCCATACAAGGTAAGTAAAAATTGATCATAGCCAGGAAATACTTAACTCTAATATAATACTTGATTAACACTAATTTTATACCCTGAAAAAAATTTTTTTTCTGTTAATAGGTATGAATAACATAATGAATGATTTAAACGAAGTTATGTTTGCTTTTGAAGACGATGGAGCTGATGGGTTAAGGATTAATCCACGGAATAACGGTCTAGTAGGAGTGCCAAATTATTTCGAGGATGTTATACCTTTATACACTGATAATCAGTTTTATTCTCATTTTCGAATGTCCAGAGAATCGATAGCTGTAAATATAATATAATATCATATTCATCTAAATATGAATGAATTTATAAGTATTATATATAGTATTATTATATATTTGTTTACAGGAACTAGAAAATATAATAAGACCCCATGTACTCGACATTAACCACAATATGCCTTTACAAAAAATTTTTTTATTAACAATCTGGATTTTAGCAACTCCAGAAAGTTTCAGATCAGTTGCTGATAGATTTGGTTTATGTAAAACAATAACATATTCAGCTTTCAAAGAAATTGTCCATATTTTAGCAAATCTTTTGCCACAGTTTGTTCGTTGGCCAGATGCTCAGGAGTGCGAAGTAATTGAGGCGGTTTGTATTCATAATAGCATTACAAAATTTATTAAATAACTTATATAATGAATATTTAATAATGGTTAATATTTTGACATAGGGTTTTCGTTCTCGCCGAGAAGGGTTTCCGGGAATAATTGGAGCTATTGATGGCTGTCATATAGAAATAATACAACCTCCAGGAAATGCTAATGATTATTACAATCGGAAAGGAACTCATTCAATAATTTTGCAAGGTAAACATATTGATGATTTCAATACGAATTTTTATATAAAAAAAAATCAAACACTTCCTGGTTTTCATAGCAGTGTAAAGTACAATTTTGTTAACTGTATGTCCTTAACTGAGATCAATTATTGGTAATGGATTATTTATTGAAAAGATGTATAGAATATCAACTGAGTTGCCAAATGTATTTTTTTGTTCGTACAGGTACATGTGATCATAATGGTAAATTCATCGACGTTTTAATTGGAAGACCAGGAAGAGCACACGACGCATCAGTTTTTAGAACTTCTACTCTGTATAATCGACTAACTAGTGAAGATCCTTTGTTGCCTCCTAATCAACATATACTTGGTGATTCCGCTTATCCGCTAATGCTCAATGTTTTAACACCGTTTAAAGATAACGGGCATCTTAGTCCTCAGCAAATTAGATACAATGTTAAGCACGCATCAATACGTTCAATTATTGAGCGAGCTTTTGGTTTATTAAAAGGGAAATTTCGCCGATTACGATATCTAGATGTTAAATCTGTAGATATGGGAATAGTTGTTATTTCCGCAGCTTGCACTCTCCATAATTTTCTATTAAGTCGAGGAGATGCCAACATTGGTGATTTTACTGAACTAGAAGCAGAAGTTGAAGAAAATCAAGATGCGAACTTGGATGCAATTCAAAAACGTTTTAATATAATGAACTCATTTTAAATTACACAATTATGCTGATAACGTTAAATTTATCAATAAAAAACAATAATGGATAAAAAACGGTTTTGTATGGTTTTACAAATTTATTTCAATTTTTTTTAAATCAACATAACATTTAAACTGTAGATTTAGTATAAACAATGATAGCTATTTCTCTTATATTATGAATAAGTAATATAAATCTTAACGATAATTTAAATAAACAATCAATGAAATAATTGAAATATATATTTCTTTTAGAACTTGTCATACTCATAGATCTCTTTTTTTAAATATTATATATAAAGCTTGTCACGAGTTAGGACACTATAAATATTTCTTTGCACGTATTAATTGCAATCAAATATACTTAACTATATATACCAGTAGATATTTAACATCACTCATTATTTCTATTTGTATAAGCAGTCTTTTTTCTTATTTGAATCATCTATAAATTTGTTATATAATAAAATTTATAAAGAAAATAATCAAAATCAAAACTGCACTGGGCAAATTAAAGAAATTATAGTTAATTACAGGTATATTTTAGTACCATGTCATATAATCCTGTAACGAGCTTTTTTTAAGTACTTCTTAAAGCTTCCTATCAAAGGAAGTAATATCTTCGTGCATAGAATAACAAACAAATTCTAATTCTATATGATATACTATCTATACCAGTAGATAATGAACATCAGTCATTTTCTTTGTTTTCAGAGCAGTCTTTTCTTACAACTAATAATAATTACGACTACAAATTTTTATACTTGGGTACTTTATAGTCTTAGAATATTAATAACTCTTTCTTATTAATAAATAGCGATCATCGATGTGGAAAATTGATGTCAACATGTGTTTATGTTCCATCAATTACCAAGCTTGTTTGATATATTTTTAAGAATCTCATTCCGCTCCTTGAAAACAGCGGTCAATTCGCTAACTCTTTGGTTCCAGATATCTATCTGTTTGTTTTGTATGTTTTTATTTTCATCCAATTTCTCAACTAATTTCTTCATCATTTCTATCTTTGTGTTATCTAAATCAAGTTGCTTCTGACGGTGATAATAGATGCTTTTGCCTCTAGCAGACTTCAAAAATTTTGGTGACAATTGCATATTTGCACTAATATTATCAGGTACTTTTTGGGAAGATGATGTTTCCTCTGCTGAATTTTCTTGATTATTATCTTGACTGAAAAAAAAAAAATATTATGTATTCATTTTAATACTTCATTTTAATCTCTGACAGACAATTATCTCAATCATTTATTCTTCTAAAAGTAATAAAGGTAAAAAGTAATAAGGTTATTTAAATGCATCTATTCAATAAAGATAGAAAAAGTTGTTATTTTTATATGAAAGCTCGAATAATCACGTATAAAATACACATAATTTTGAAGTAATTTAAATGGGGAAAAAAAAATATCATTCAAGCTGAGCAGAAACTTTAAAATTACATTCAAGTTAAATTTTTAAGGTAAATATTTTTTACCCAGTTTGCCTGTCAGGGATTAAAAATAGAATTATTAATTGCTATGGTCACTTTATTTAATCAAACCTTGTTGATTCAGTTGATAAGTTCATTGGTTCTTCATTTACGTAAGACATACTTGTCATCACATTTGAAGAAAAATTAATTGATAAATCGTTATGAAAGATATCCTCTATCTGAGGTAACCATTGCCATGATTTACGTCCAGTTCCCGTTGTTGTTTTAGCATTATTTTTTTTAATTTTTGAGTAAAATGTTTTTAAATTTGAAAATTTTTTAATAACATCGTTATAGGTTACTCTTTTGTTAATTAGTTTTTTTTTTAATTTTAGGATCTCTGAATCTGTTCTTTCGAATGAAATATTCATTTAATAAAAATTTCACTGCAGAATCTTCCCAGTTTTCAGTATCTAGTATTTCTGTATAAATTGGAAAAAAAAATGTACTGGTCAGTAACTTTATTCATTCTATGTATGATTGTATATAAAAAATATTTACTATGTTAATTTTTACCTTTATCAACATTTTGATCAGTCAGATCTTCACTGCTCGTTGAATTGTCGATCGGAATGACGTTAATCAGTTCATCATCATGCAAATCACTATTGGACTGTTCTACATTTTCAATATTTTCTTTATCGCTGTTGTTTACTAACTGTTGTAAGATTTCTGAAGCGTAATTTGAATCTATAAATCAATGAAAATTAATTAGTTTATACAAACATTATGATATTGTCAAGGTATTGATGAATGATCATCAATCTACGCTTATTGTACTTGCTAAACAGATGTATAGTTTTAACTAAATTAAATAAAAATCCATTTGATTTTTCATAGACAAGAATTCATGATCTCAGTTCAAAAAGCTTAATTTTTTTCAGTGTATTACTGAAATTACGACGATGATTGACAAATTTTAATTTGTTTAACTTACCTTTTTTCAATGATTCATGGAAAGCTTGATCACCTTCGATATTATAAACTGTACCGCAATACTCATAGGAACACACGATTAAAGAAGAATTATCACTCATTTTAGAAAATTCTATGATAATTGATACGTAATTACACACACCAGTTTTTAACTGTCAACTTATATTTACGTCTAAAATCATTATATTGAGTGCATGTGTATCTGAACAATGACAGGTCTGTTCCTGTCCGTTTTGTTTACATCAACAATAAGCAAAATGGCGTCGTATATTAAGCCATACTTACTGCGTTAGCACTTATTTTGTGTCCCGGCCGAAAATTTTGTAAGCATAGTAAGTGACTTACTAAATTTAGTAAGTACTTACTTCGGCCAAACACGCCCAATGTAAAACCATCCACATATGAAGTCCGGCCTGTGGAAAAAAAATACATATATTGTAAGGCTGATTGGACTGAATATTATAATTTATCTGAAACATCTTTTTGTCAGTTAGACACTGAAAATACAGAACCAATTGCTTTATACAATAACGGTCTTATTAATAAAAATCACTATACATGCGTTATAACAAGGTGATAGTAATTCAGTGAATAGAGCTTGTACAGGGCATAAACACCTCTTTGACCAATAATCGATGTGTATTGGTTGAATAACAAAACGACCCTTATTTATTGTTACCCTGGCAACCCGCCGTGTTTGATTGACGTTTGATTTAATAATTCTGATACAACTCATAATTCTAATGTAAGTTGTATTTATTTTCTCAACCAAAGCAATTATATACACATTTACTTAATATACTAATAACATTTTATTATTTGCAGCTAATAGAAACTCCAAAACCTCAGACAAAGAGGACTAGAATTTTAAATAAAAAGCCGCGTTCTGCAGTACAAAAGTTAGAAGAGGTTAGTCTCAATGTGATAGAGAAAGGACTATTTCATTCAAAACTCAACCCTTCCCTCAACGATCATACTTAAATTTTTTAGGCATCTCAAATAGTGGAAAGTGCCAAACTCGCAACACGGTAGTGTTCCAGTGTTTGCAGGAAGAGCACGAAACAAAACAAAGGCAGATGGCTGAAACACATGAGCTCAAAGAGAAGCAATTTGCCGAAGCTCATGAAAGGGCTAGACAGGAGCATCTTCTAAGGCTCAAATTGTTACAGCAGCAATTAAATGAATAATTATATACTTATAAAAAAAATAAAACCCCTGTTTTAAATGAAATATAACTTTTTATTTATTTCAAGTCCTTAACTATCCACACCTATGTAAATAAAAGGGGTTAAATATAATGATCATAAAAGCTTTGATACCCTTAGTTCTTTTTACCAAAAATATATACTTAACACCAGATAAATAACGTCTAAAATTACAATAGTACTAGCAGTTTGTCACACGCACTTCAATTGTATTGCGGACACCAAATGTAGTAAATGATCACCAAATCTTAGCGAGCAAATTAATGCGCTATTTCTGCCTAAATAAACCACTATGATTGACATAAAATGTAGGCTTATTACCAAATGAAGCATTATCAGTGCCATATTAGGTTATGTCTGCGGCTTACGATCCTCTCCCACCACACCGCAAGCGCCGCGCACCCCCCCCCGGACACGATCGCCAATTTAGTCTCGTGCGAGCACTTGCTTTGGGGTGGGGTGTGTGTTTGGTATCTAGTCTTCTTTGCAATGGCAATGAAAACTTAGCGGGACCGAGTTCGTGTGCTCCGGTGTTGAGTACTTCATCGGAATCAGATGAAGACAAAAAAATAAAGAAAAACGTCGAAGGCAATAATTTGAAGAAAATTTAAATTGCCGAGCACTGAGGAATTTATCAAAAATGAGAAGACCTGGTCAATACAAAAATCATACGACTGAAGAAGGAGAAAACTTACTATCGTTGTAACAAAGTGAGCTTCGGGCTGAATTCAGTGTTCTGCCGCGATTTATCTTTTATTTGACGCATCGTGTTGATATATTATTATTTCGTACTGAAACATGTCACGGACCATGAAAATTCTGACTGTCAGTCGCACTAGGGGGGAATAAATGAGGCAACGAAAAAGGAAAAATAGAAAAACTATTCGAACTGCGTTTGAAACCTAAATCTATTATGAAGAACTTAAGTAAAATTAATGGACTAGTTCTGCCGACTAAGTTACAGTTAAACAATTATCTTAAAATCGTACGTAAGAAAAAAATACGGGCCATCGGTAATAAGCTTGGGACAGCTTGAGTTATGGTTTTTAGATCAGAACTTTCCGTTCATGTTACGACGAAATATTTAATTGGTCTATCACGCCAATGTTCTGTTCTTCATCGGATGCCACAGTATAAGCTCATTTGGCAAGGGTTTCCAGTACTTGTGATGAACTACACGACAGAGATAAACATTTTCACCCATTTGGATTAGCTGTGACAACAGCTGAACGAACGGAAGACTTCATATTTTTATTTTCGCATTAAAAAAGCAGTTTTCTCAAATTTTCACTACCCTAGGTAAAATTTTGGTCTGATAGATACATTTTTGATTGGAAAGAAAATTTTGCGGGCGCATCAAAAAAGAGCAAACAAGAGTAGAGCAAATGTGCTAAAGAAATCCAAAAGAGATCTTACAGTAGTGATTTGAGTGTGCCTCAACTCAGGAAATATTTGATCGACCAGCGAAAAATTTTTGGAAAGTGGGAAGCCGAAAAGTTTTGTTACATAATTTGAAAAGAAGGCTAAACTAACGTGGATTTGATTTTAAAACACTGAATCTTTCGAAAAACAAGTGGACCTCGAGCGATCCTTTGTCCGCGTTTTTATTAATTCCTCTTGATATAGTCAAGGATTGGTATAGTAGTGTATTAATAATACTGAGAGCAGTTGTCAATGAAGTATCTTTAATGGGCAGGTTACCAATGGGCAAAGAATAACTGACTTTTGTGAAACGGTCGATTTGGCAAATAAAAGGGACTTTGGTCCCAAGTAAAATTTGGGGGGGGGGGGGAAAAAATGCCCCGAGAAAAGGAAAATTGGTTACACGGCACATGCATTTACCCAATTTCTCAAAGATTACATCAAGCATCTCGTTGGATTGGCGTTCGGCTTACTGCCACCTTAGAGCAGAGTATCAGGACCAACCAAAGGACGACCAGCAAAGCTAAGAAAGCTTATTTGTGCAGTGAATAATACAGGACTGTTCTTCTGTTTTACTTATTAGATAAGATCTGCGATTATTAGTTTTAAGAGGACTAACTTTAATGATTGCAAAAAAAAGAGTTAAATTTTCTTATTGTAATGGGATTTGTACCAGATCTAATAATTTTTGTGTGATTAAAATTGATAAGAAATTTACTTTACTGTGTTTCAAAATTTTTTTTGGCAACTTGGATAACAAGTTTATTTTATTTTTGCCTTTATTTTACAATATGGGTAATATTTGGGTTTCATTAACATTTTGCTAACAATGATTTGAGCCAGTTTGCTTAACAGAGGAAAACATGTAAAAACTTTGTTATAATTTTAATTAACTGGTATTATATTTATGTCATGATTATAGGCGAGATGTCAGGTAAAATAAAACCATATTGAACTTTGTAATTTAAATAACCTAGTCGTATTGTCAGGTTCCAGTTGTCCAGAGATTGAGGGGAAAATTTTGGTTCAAACAGACAGAACATAGTGTCTTCTTTAATCAATAAGAACTCAATAATTTGGCATTTTCTAATGACACTGAGAAGCCATGAATAAGACACCTAAATCGAAAACCCTCCATCTCTATTACTCTTTTCGACATCAGCTCGCACTAGTCATAAGTCTAGTATTTTTTTTTGAAATGTATTTGTATGAAGTAATTTGGGGGGGGCGGGGGGGTTTTTTTTTTTTTTTTTTTCCGGGGGGGGGGCTTTCCTTCAATCGTATACAGTATTAGCTGCATATCAATATTATCTATCTATCTACAACAACACTAATAGCAATGCACTAGAACAGAAAAACATAGGAAAAATTGCTGATAGATTTTTGATAGAAAATTTTTCAAATAAAACAATAAATGCTGACCAATGGATTAGTGGATTTGGTGAATGTGGGGGAGATTCGGAAATTATACACAATGAAGGGAAAATTGGGGTAAAACATCTTCTCGAAAAACAGTGTCTTGATTGGTATAGTAGTATATTAATAAAATTGACAGTGAATTCCGAATGGGCAGTATGGAAAGATAACTTTTGTGAAACATTTGGAAATAAGGGGAGGTTGTCCCAAGTAAAATATGCATTTACATATTAGATTAAGATAGACTGTGGAGGTAAATAACATCGACAAACTGTTTGGGGGGAAAAGGAAAACACCACACCCAAACAATGATACATCTTTTTGTATTTATGGGCTTAGTCCAGAATATATTGTTGATAAAATTGATAAAAGAAACAGTAAAATCAACTGCAAGCCTTTACAATGAAATTGGGGGAAACATAAACATGTAGCGAACAAAAATAATATTAGAATAAAAAATATCTTACGATTATAGAGCAAGGCAGATAAAATAAAACCATATAGAACTTGTGAAAATTTAAATAAAGGTATTCGGTTCCATCCAGAGGAAAAATTTTGGTTCAAACAGACAGAACAGAGTAATCATAAGAACTCAATAATGATAAAAAAAACGAATAATAACACCATTAATTAAAGTCAAACTAGTATTAAATGTATTTAGAAAGTAATTATGTTAGGCATGTATTAATTAATGAGTATTATTGTAAGATAGAAACAGCAATAAAGGCTATTTTATTTTATTTATTTATTAAATGAAAAATTAAAAACATTTGGATTATATGATTCAGGATCAAATGTATCTATAATTAATTCCAAATTAATAAGATTGAAAGGAAAAGAGAAGAATGATTTAAGAAGTGATAATTTAATCACAATTAATGGTGTTAAGAAAACAATTGGTTTGACAACAATAAAATAATATAATGATAATTATAATAATCAATATTATTATAATGATCACTATTGTAAGATGAACACAATTTAAACCAAGATAGAGAAGATACTAAATTGGGAGTACAAATGGACAGGTCAATGGCACTTATTGCTTCACCAGGCTTTGTGAGGCGTGTAGGTGAACCCGAGTTTAAAATGCATTATACATGTCTAAGATATCCAATAATTCATACCCATAACTATTTTTCAGGGTTCCATATGAATGGCTGCTTAGTGAATACACAAAATTGTCAAATTTGGGACAAAGAAAGTCCTCATGCAATCCATGAGAAACAAATGCACCCAGAACGAGTAACTGTCTGGTGCGGATTTTGGTAAGGCAGCGTGATTGGACCTTTTTTGAAAATGACGCCGCAATTGCAGTGAATGTGAACGGCATTCTTTACATATGATAACGGACTTCTTGTGGCCTCAACTGGACGGCATGAATCTCGACAACATGTGGTTTCAGCAGGACGGCGCAACCTGCCACACCGCGCATGAAACAATCGACTTATTGCAGCAACGATTTCCAGAACACATTATCTCACGAAATTCTGATGTCAACTGGCCACCAAGATCGTGCGATATAACGCCGTGCGATTTTTTTCTGTTGGGTTTTGTGATCTCGGGCTTATGCTACAATTCCTGAGCTCAAATCGGAAATCCAACTCGTCATCGGTGACATACAGCCACATCTCTGTGCAAAAGTCATGAAAAGAGTAATGGCCTGTCATCGGAGCCGTGGGGGTCATTTGCCGGATATTTTATTTCGTACTTAATCGGAACATGTCTTCTTTACAATACAGTAAAAATAACACAACTCTGTCACAAAAAACTTGTTTTTATTTTAAAATGAAAAAGTGCAACTCTTACTGAGACACCCGTTATATATTCGACTATTCAGTGCTTTAAATGTTGCCGCTTTGGGCACACCAAGGGCCAATGCAGGTCAAAGTCCAGATGTTACAAGTGTGGTCAGGGCCACACTGGAGATAGTTGTAATTTGGAGGAAGACCATGGTTCTTGCTGCTTATGCTTTGGTATGCACTATGCTTCATGCAAAAAGTACCCAGAGTAAGTCAGACAAACAAATATTAAACTAACAATGGCAGAGAATAGCTTATCTTATGTTGAAGCGTCAAAATTACATCCCCCCCATTTCTCAATATCCGCAAATGATTTATTTGCGGATATTGTATCCTCTCTCCCAAGTAAATCACTTCCTGGTGGAAATATAGTATCACCTCCACGTACAATATCTTATTAAAAAACAGTCTTCACTAAACCCAGAACCCCTCCTCAGCACAGTAAAGGTTTCGATCATGTAGCACATGAGTCTCTTGTAAGGGACTACAATATTCCAGAGCCTTCTAAATGATGTAAATTACCATCATCCTCTAATGCAAATTTTCCCTTTTAAATGAGTTCAAAAAAATCCAGATTCTAATAAATTGGAAGCGAGATGTGAAATCATAAGAGTTATAAGAAATGCTCAACAACCATCATATTATTTTAGTTATTCTAATACGCAATTTGATCGAGGGTATCGAAACGAAATCGGGTAGTGACTACACTGGCCGAGGGTATTAGAGTAGACTGAATAATAGAGAATCCACAACTACAGGTTATAGACATCCGAAATCGTGTACCACGAATATTTAAATATAGTGTTGATAATAATTCTTCATACGATTTTACTGACATCGTAGTGTATCCAAAGAACTTATCTTTAAATTTCTTTAAGAAGAAGCACTGACGAGTGACGATTGCGGCAGACCGCAATAGTGACGGTTAGCCGGAATACGGCATGCCGCTACGGCAGACCGTATATACCGCGGCCTACCGCAGCAGCACACCGCTTCGTGGTCAGCCGCTAGTGCGTTGTCGGCCTTACAGACACGACACGTATCATCGACATTTTTTATATGATGATTGACAATGACTTTATGGACAAACTTTGTACAGAGACTAATCAATACGCCAACCAAAAGATTTGTATACAATGAAAGAACCGACTAGACTTATTTAAAATTCTGCCGATAATTGACTATTTTAACGACAAATTTTCCAGTTTATAATATCCATCCAGATAGCAATTGACGAATCTCTTCTGAAGTAACATGGGTGACTAGGCTTCGCTCAGAAGATTTTGTCGAAGGCTGCACAAGTAAGTGTGAAAACTTACGAGTTGTGCGAGTCTTCCAGTGGCTATCTCTGGAATAATATGCTGGATAAGAAAAGACTAGGACTGCAACTACAAATGACGTCAGACCTGACGAGTATGAACCACTGACAAACCATCGGCATCGATTGAAAATAGCAATGACCGTTCCAACAACGTTGTCGATACCAACGACAAAACTAATTTAAATTTAAATTTAATTTAATTAATAATAATAATAATAAACTTGACAATAAGCTTAAAGCTATGTATTATACTGAGAGACTGGTGCTTGAAAAAGGTTGGGAAAACCTGTTATTACAAGTGACCAGTCCCTCTTGATCATAGTGTTGCAAAAAGTATTGCTAATACAAGTCTTTAAAAACGAACGAAAATAAATAATTCATAAAAATATATAAAAAAAATAATTAAAAATAAAAAAATAGTAAAAGATTAAAATTCATTAAAGACGGACAAAAACGGAACTTCGACAAGGTGAAGTAGTGGCTAGCTACTGTTCCGATTTGTCTATATGTGTATGGCGAGATGCTAACATAGTTAGCTTGATCTCGATATTATATTACCTCCAAATCGGATCTCGACAAAACACAATCAACTGACATTTAAGCCAAGCATTGTCCTAGACTACAATAAATCCATGGGAGGCGTGGACAGGAAAGATCAATTCCTGTCTGCTCAGCCCTTAGAACGTACAAAAAACAAAATTTGGTACAAAAAACTTTTTCGTCGCATGTTAAATGCAGCATTATTTAATTGCTTTGTTATTTTTAAGTCCGCAAATCCCAAAATTTCCCATAGGCAGTTTAGGACAATTCTGGCGGAAGACTTATTAAAAATACACAGAAATATTGACCTGACTACGGAACCCCGACTTATTACATCTCGAACCGGACTGACACTGACACCGCGACCAAGACCAACAACAACCAATAGACCTCACCTAGAACACAGACACTTTCCAGTGAGAAATGGGCATAAACAAGCTCGCTGTTGGATGTGCGCCCAGCGAAAGGTCACTGTAAGAACTGTATGGAAGTGTCTAGAATGCAACATAAATATATGCATTGAAGGCTGCTTTATGGAGTACCACATTTAACTATTTAATACCAGTACCATATTTTTTATTTAACTGTTTTAATTATTTTATTTACAAATCTTTATTATTAAAAATGTCTTATTAAAATTTACGATAATGTTATTCTGTTTTTCATTTAAAAGAAACGATTGAAACAGATCGAACATACCCTATTTTTTACTTAGTTAAAAAACGACACTTAAAGGTGTATGGTAGACCTAAGGCAACCATCTTGGCACAAAAAGTCATAGCGCGCGACTCGAGAGGCTATGGTAAAATTACGAGAAGTGGTTGTTTTGTTTTAATTTATTACCGTAGGGTTGAATAAATATAAACATCTTGGCATCGTTTGAAAGGATAATTAGTCTAGTTTTTTGTAAAATTATTCTCATGATGAAATCGTTTATATTTTTTGCTTATGGCCTACATCTATAAAACATATAAGCATTTTTGCTCAGGCTCAAATGTTTTATCCCGTTTTAAGTACTAATCTATTAACAATATCCAATTATTAAAACATGTGTTTTAATCTATATACTTCAACCTATTATGCAGTATTTTTTTCATAGTTGTAGTTATTATATTTCAACAGATATATTAGATTTTGTTGCGATGTAGCGGGCGCGGTTCGCACGGGTCTAGGCCGCGCGAATCGTTGTACAGGTGACGTGAAAACAGTCGCGCGGCCCGTACGTGAGAGTGGTTATACCATAGAGTACCATATTTAACTTTTTAAATTTAACTGTTTAAATATTTTATCATTTACAACACGAAATCTTATTAAAAATGTCTCATTACAATGTACGACAATGTTATTCTGTTTTTCATTTAAAAGAAACAATTGAAACAAATCGAACATACCCTATTTTTAGTTAGTTAAAAAACTACAAGGTGTGTGGGAGATCTTAGATGGGCGGCCATTTTTTTAAGATCCTTAGAGGTAAAATCTATAATACGGAAATGTTGGAAAGATTGGGTCTGCGTGTGCCAAATAACCACACTCGGCGGGGTAAGCGGTCGCAATTGCTGGCAGTGCCTCGGGCGCGGACGAACTTAAGGCCTATTCAAACCTAAGCGATATTCGCTGCCACTGTGGATAGAGGTACATACCGCGCGGGTTTCGCTCAGGTATTTAGTATCGTAGAAGAGTATTTAGCTCTAATAAATTATGGAGAGATTTCGGAAGATGATCTTGAGGACTCGGATACAGAAGGTAATGAGAATTTTTATGAAAATGGAGACGATTTGCTTCACGATCTTGAGAGTCCATTAGAAGAGGAAAATGATGACCCCGATAATGATCCATTCATGGCAGGAGACCCGCCATTGATAAATGAAGCTACAGCAAATGATCAAGTGCCACAGGTTCCATTCCCCTCAACAAGTCAAGCTAGTCGCCGAGCAACTATGAGAGGACTCGTATGGAAGGTAAAAAAAATTGTTTTGAATTCTGACCAGACAGCTTTTCATGGAGACACTACATACCCACCTGAACTGAAGGATGAGGCTACTACTGGTACTCCCTATAGTATTTTTTCACATTTTATTACATCAGAAATAGTTCAAAGGATTGTGGAAGAGTCTAATTTGTATTCCGTTCAAAAAAATGTGACTAAACCATTAAATTTATCTGAAACTGAGCTAAGAAAGTTTATGGCGATACTGATATACATGTCTGTTATAAAATATCCCAATGTACGGCTATACTGGTCAAATACTGTAGGTTTTCAACTAATCAAGGACATAATGACTGTCAACCGATTTGAGACTATTCGTAGATTTCTACATTTCAACAATAACGAGAAACATTTACCCAAGGAACACCCACAACATGATAGGCTCCATAAGATAAGGCCTATAATTAGCCATCTAAATGAGAAATTTGCTTTAGTTCCTATGGAACAAAAACTCTCAATTGATGAACAGATGTGTGCCACAAAAGTGGCACACTTCATGAAGCAGTATTTACCTAATAAGCCCCATAAGTGGGGGTTTAAATTATATGTGATGTGCAGCGTGAAAGGTTATGCTCATAAATTTGAAATATATACTGGCCAAGAGAATGAACGGCTTCCAGATGAACCAGATTTTGGGCCAGTGGGAAATGTTGTAGTCCGGCTTGCTAGAGGTGTCCCAAGGCATATAAATCATATAATTTATTTTGATAATTTTTACACCTCTGTACCTTTCAAACTCAAACTCAAACTCAAAATATCTTTATTCAAGTAGGTAACCAAGTACAATTTTGAATCGTCAAGTTAAATTAATCGTAAATTTACATTTACTACCAGTTCGCAAGTCAAGGGCGTAGAGCGGGTAAGAAGAACTGGCAAGAAACTTTCCGCCACTCTTTTTAATCGCCAAGTATTGTCATACAAATTGTTTGAACTGGAGCAATTCAATCCCAAGGATTAGGATCATTTAAGTAGTCCTCAAATTTATAAAAAGCTTTGTTGATTAATTTTCGTTTAACGAGGGCTTTGAATTTATTTAGTGATAATTCTCTAATTTCGCTTGGGAGCTTGTTGTAAAAACGAATACAATTTCCATATAAGGAGTGGTTTATCTTTTGGAGCCTGGTTGGTCGTACACTCAAATTAGTTCTATTTCGCGTATTATACTGGTGAAAGTCACCATTTGTTTTAAAATCGTTTATATTTTTTTGGACATACAACAAGGCTTCAAGAATATATTGACCAGATAGTGTCATAATATTTAATTCCTTAAACTTATTCCGTACCGACTCCCTCGGAGAAACACAACAAATACCCCGAACAGCCCGCTTCTGCAGCACAAATATGGATTGAACCTCTGCAGCAGCACCCCACAGTAAAATGCCGTACGACATAACGCTATGAAAGTAGCTAAACTGTCGGATTTTCTTTACTGCATATGCTGCAGAGCTCAGCCTATTCGAAAGAGTCTCTATGTGTCTTAGTTACCTATCTTGCCAAACAAGGAATCTATAGCCTAGGTACTGTGCAATCTAACAGGCTAGTGAACTGCAAACTGCCGGACAAAAAAACAATGATGAAGAAATCTGTTCCTCGTGGAACTTATGAAGAGCAGATGACTGAATTTGACGGTATTGATTTGACAGCAGTTACTTGGAAGGACAATAAAGTTGTAACTTTTCTATCTTCATATGTTGGAGCTGAACCTGTGGGCCAAGTAGAAAGATTTGACAAGGCAAATAAGACTAGAATTAAAATTTCATGCCCACATATAATAAAGGAATATAATGCCCATATGGGCGGAGTGGACCTAATGGATAGCTTTATTGGGAGGTACCGAATTGCAATGAGAAGCCGAAAGTGGTATCTTCGTATCTTTTACCACTTATTGGACATGACGGTAATAAATTCTTGGCTTGTGTATAAAAATTTAAAAACAACTGAAGCCAATTCATCAGTTCTAAACCTATGTAACTATAGACTGGAACTAGCTGAGGTATTAGCCAAAGTAAATAACTCATTTGAACTCTGCAACAAAAGAGGAAGGCCAAGTACCAGCAACAGTGTTGAAATGGAAATACAAGCAAAAAAAAGGAGAGGACCAGCTCAACATATTCCTCCTAAGGACATAAGGACTGATAATGTTGGTCACTGGCCTGGTAATTGTGTTCGCAGCAGATGCAAAATGCCTGGTGGAAGGGATACACGCAAAACAGGTGTGAGAAGTGTGGAGTAGCTCTTTGTCTTACCACAACCAAAAATTGTTTTAAAAATTTTCATATGTAGTTATTGTCTAGTGAGTGCATAGTGTTGTAGTTCTGCAACAAATGGTTTTTAATAAAAATAACTATGAAAATAAAAAAAACTATTTTTTTTATTATTTTTCCCTAAATCAGCATATTCATGGCTCCAAAATATATTTTTTCTCGGTCTAAAAATAAAATCATGCATAAAATCATGCATTTAAGGGTTAAAGAAGTTGACAAATTGTGTACGTACCCTATCACCTGAAAGTTGCAAAGTTTCAAAATTTTGATATTCATTGTTCATTGCATTATTTTGTTGAGTAGTAAAATACATATTTTGCAAGTACGGGGTATTGCAAGTTTTAGAGCGTAAATAATTATGGAGTACGCATGTTGCTTTTATCACTTTTTTAGCTGAAGACACTTTTAGGTGCATGGGTTTGAAATATATTCGCAATTTTTGAGCCAGTAATCCAAATGCATTTTCAACAACGCGTCTAGCTCGGCATAGGCGCTTATTGTATTCTTCCTTTCTTCTATCAACCCTAGAAACTCTTTGATTGAATGGTTTCATTACATGTGCTTGCAATCGGAATGCCTCATCTCCTATTAACACATGAGGTGTGACGTCATTAGTTCTTGGCAATAGTTTAGGCCTTGGAACATTCATAGCCCCATTATTAAACCTCCTTCCCATGACAGAGTTTTCGAAAATTCCACCGTCGCTATTTTTTCCAAAACCTCCAACATCGATACATAAAAAATTGTAGTGTGGTCCTACTATTGCCATAAGGACGACAGAAAATTTTTTGAGGTAGCAAAAATAATTGCTGCCTGAATTAGGCGGACAAACGATAGTGACATGTTTTCCATCAATACTGCCGAGGCAATTGGGGAATTGCCACATATTATAAAACTCTTCAGATGTTAAGTTCCACATTTCTTCTGTAGGAGGCTTCATGTATATGGGTTGTAATGTAGTCCAAATAACATCACAAACTTCATCAACAATTTCTGCGACAGTTGAGCAACCCACTCTATAACTGTTTGCAATACAGCGAAATGAATCTCCACTTGCTAAAAATCTGCAAAAAAAATAATATTTAATAAGCTTTTTTACTCAAGGTCTAAGGGCGTGGACCCGCCATCCATTGCCCCTCTCAGTCGATATTTCGCTGTTGATTCGATCGAATGAGGGGCAATGGACGGCGCACCGTTCGCGGTACCGTGGTGTGGCACGGCGCCGCGCCGTCCACCGGTGGCGATGCCATACCGTTGCACGGCGAACGGCGCCGCACCGTAGACATGGGTCCACGCCCTAAGCCATTTTTACTAAAAATTTGGTTTTTAAGATTCCTCAGTATTTATCACCTTACTAACCCAAACAAATTCAGGGTTTTAACTGGTCTAAGTATAACTAATGAATAAAACTAATTGAATAGATTATAAATAAACTATATTTTTTACAGGCGATGAAGCCAAAATGAAATGGAAAAATCTACGGGACACTTATGGTAAATATTTAAAAACTACAAAAACCACTACAGGCCAAAGTGCGTTTAAATCTTACAGTCGTTACAGCAAATGGCAGTGGGCATCTTCAATGGAATTTTTAAAAGATCACATAGGATTTGCTCCAACTGATACTAATGTGGCAAGAGAAGAAGAAAGCGTATCTGATACCCAAAATATTACTGAACCCGAATCTTATAATGAAAATTCAACACAACGGTCAAGTTCAGTAGCATCATCCGAACGTTATACTTCACGTTCGGGTTCCAGAAAAAGGACTTCTGTTAACGAACATCCTGTTGATAAAGTGATTACGTACTTGAATACAAAAGCAGATAAATTATCGTCGATTGAACATGTTATGCTTGGATATGCAAAAACAATAGACAGGTTTTCTGAGCGACGTAAAATTATAACAAAAATGAAAATAGCTCAAGTTATGATGGAAGCGGAATTGGAAGAAGAGCAAGAACGTAGTCTACAACGAGAAACAACACTGCGATCTTACTACACCACTGAGCCTAACACAAGCCAAAATGATCGTTGTATGTCTCAACAATCATGTTATTCTCGTAGTGAGCCTAACACAAGCCAAAATGATCGTTGTATGTCTCAACAATCATGTTATTCTCGTAGTCCCCAGTCTACTAATGATTCTGAACTGCAGTCTGCTCTGCGTTGTATTCAAGATAATGCTCTATCACCTCTAGCACCTTCACTGACTGGAGAAGGTCTCGATTACGAACACGAAATAGATTACGATCAACAGAAACACTCAGAAATCAAATAAGAAGGTTTTAGGTTAAGATAAAAGTTGTGTTAATATTGTAAAAAATCAAAGTTCCTTCCTAGTTATCTAAAATAAAGATTTTCGTCAATTAATATTCAAATTTGTTTTCCTTACCTCAACGTTATTGCTAAGCGTTCTTCAGGGCATATGGGTTCTCGATATTTAGTGAATGATTTGCTGATATTTTCCTTTATCATATTTAATATTTCATCAAAGTTCTCAGTCGTCATTCTGAATGCATTAAAAAACCGATCTTCATCCAATCTTAATCTTGGATATAAAGTGTGGAATTCCCCATGAATTCGGTGTTGTCTATTGATGTCATGGATCCAAATTCTTTTCTTAACTGGTGAGTCAATTAAGGCTAATAAAAGTAAAACTTCCTCTTCATCACTATCCATCACTAAAATCAGATGCTCTGCAGAAATTACAACGTGACTGACGTGTATATTCTTTGGCGACTCAGAAATGACTAACTGGCGCAAATTTCTTACCTCTCTGAGCGAAACTCGACTACCGCGCGTTATTCTACCCACAAGGATAGCGAAATCCGTTTTCGTGTGAACAGTAATATTACCGCATACTCACTGGGTTTTCCCTGCCGCAGACGGTAGCAAATACCGCTTAGGTCTGAACAGTAATATTACCGCATACCCACTGGGTTTTCTCTGCCGCAGACGGTAGCGAATACCGCTTAGGTCTGAACAGGCCTTTACTTAGAGAAGCAATATTTACGCGTGTTTTGTGCACCCTAAACACTATTGCTTGTGAGACGGATATATTTAGTTGCACACTGGCTGAATTCACAAGAATTTCATTATTTATAATTAGTTATAAAATAGTTTAGGTTTTTAAGTTTTTACTTTTTATGTTTATATTATGTTTTACGTTAGTTTTCTATTGTATTAAGTTACTGTAAAAATAGGAAATAAATAAATAAATAAATCTTGGCACAAAAAAGTCATAGCGCGCGACTCGAGAGGCTAGGTAAGGAGAATCAGTGGGGGTTGAGCTCATGTATTTCGTGGAGAAGTCAGCTAGCCAGGGTTGGTTTTGCCATCCCAACATTTACTCGCATTATACCACTCACTAGGGGACCTCAAAATAACTGGGAATAATAGTGTCAATTTAATTACTGAGTTCATTCACTGTTCTACTGATACCTGGTCTGAAGTGTACTGCACTCGGCCATCTTCATTCTTGGAATACAGACGAGTACTGTGTTAGGAATGATGAATCAGAAATAGGGTATAAGATAACTAGAGCTGATGACGCACCAACAAGGATGAGTCTGGATGATAAAATCATCGAGATTACGTGTGATAGAGATCTTCAGCTTTCAGTGTCCCCAGATCATTGCACTAATGTGCAAATTCATGTGTGGGATATAAAAAATACTACATCAGATCTAATGATCTCAGTCAGAGCTTTATTTGAAAGTAATCATGGTGTCTTCAAATTTCCTGATTCACTACACGTGGAGTCTAAATTTTCGATTCACAACACTACTCTAAAATAAAAAATAAAAAATATGTTTATCATGAAACATAAGATACATGTATCACTTATTCCACGTCATTAAATTTGAATTTGTCGGCATCCCTACTCATCGGCAAAGAAGACAGAGGGTGTAGGCCGAGAGAAAAAGCCGGCGTAAAAAACTCTCGGTACTCTTTTAAAACAGCAAATCATCAAACAACACTTATTTAAAACAAATATCGCAAATTAATTAGAAGTAGCCTGTCTAGCACTAGTCCCAGGCCCTTTTATAAATCTATGATCAGGTCTTTAAACAGTTCAGGGTTAAATTACTCCATGCACTCAAATTTTAAAGGCATTGTTGATGATAAACTAGGGGGTCATGAATCGGGGGAGGAATACTGGATCCTTTATTTTTTGTTTTTATTTTCACACGAAGTATTATGGTTGCCGCCTTACCATTGCGACCTCAACCCGATTGAGAAAATTTGGAGAGTTGTAAAAAGAAAGGTGGCAGATAAGAACGTGGCACAAGATCCAAAAGAAATTGTAAAATTAGCTGAAGAGACCTTTGAGTCTATTACGGAAGATTGGACAGCTCAGTGCACGCATGTCGAACATTTAGAGGAGGAGTATTTAAAAAATGTCGGCCTTATGGATGAAGAGATGAACCGAATAATTATATATACGGCAGTGATACTGAAACAGAATCTGATTCTGTTTCTATCCACTCTTCAGACAGTGATGTTTCTATGGCCGCTGATCACAATTATTCAATAAACATTGTTTCTGCGCATGCCAAATTTATTGTACGTCCAAGAACTATATATAGACAAAATCCATACCTATTGCGAGCATGTCGTTCTTTTAATGTGGCATATCGGGAGGTTGATTTGTATTTATTCTGCACTAGTGTTACTAGAATGAAGAAAGCCCTATGTGATCAATAATTTGAATTAGATTTTAATATAGCTGCCTTGATAGTTTTCTGAGCATTAGTATGTAAAGATGTAATAATACCTAAATGTAGAAACTGATAATTGGCGTTCATCATATTAATTATATAATATTGAACCTTTTTTCGCATTGAAATATTCGCATGAACTGCTAACAGAATTTATAGGTTTTCGAAATAATCCTTGCCTTTGGAAAATTAGAAGCCATGATTACAGAGACAAAAATATGAAATTATAAAAATTATACGTACGGTGGAAAGAGATGGTACCATAGATAACGTCAAGAAAAAAATTAAATTAATTTTCTTTTCGTAATCCAGACTCGTCGTGCGGCTATTGAATAGAGTGGACGTGTGCTCAATTTTATTAGAAAAATAGTTAACTGTGATTTGCTAAAGTGATCCTTATATCGTTGTGACAGAGTGGTTTTACGTCTGGCAAACCCTGTAAGTTATAAGCCCTTTAGTGTCGTACACCCAACACGTAAATGACGCACTGCGCGTGATTGTGCTCAACCGTGTAAGCAGGACAACTAGATTTCTACACCATCTCACCATTCATACAGTGAATACAACGTGCATTAGTGGGACTGAAATATCACTATCATTGCGGTCGACTACGCTGATACCTCTGTACTACGCATAATACCTTGCCACATAATTGTTTACCGGCGATACTCAAACCAGCTGTTTCATTAAGTGATATGAAATAATTAAGTTCGTACATCTACATAAATTGCATATAAACACCAAACTGCATAAATAAGACTTTAAAACATATTTACAAGTAATTGTTCATAGATATGAGTGTTTTAAGGTCGTCCAATAATGCGATTAGAGGAAGTTCTCAGCCGGATCTATCAAAGATTTCCACCGAAGCAAGTGACACCCAGATTACCTTTCGCAAAAGGAAACAACCATCCGATCGTGACTGTGACTGCAAAACAGAAGTGCAGGAAATGCGAAAAGAGATATCACGAATTACTGACCTGTTGGAAAGATTTGTTGGATCCAACGAACAAAATATGACGGCTATGCGTGAAAGTATTACGGAATTGAAAAATGAAATTTCATCTATAAAATCGACTACCAGTGGTGCAGCTACCGAACAAATTGCAATAAAATCTCAGATCTCAGAACTTGAAAATAAAATTTCTTTTGGCGAACAAAAAATTAAGTCCTTAGAATCCGAGATCATAACGTTAAAAACACCTGTAAATTCATCCGTATGTACACAATCGATGATATTAGAACAAGAAAATATTTTAAAGGAATTATTTGAACGCAACAACCGAGAGAAAAATATTATTCTGGTAGGACTGCCTGAACGACCATTACCAAGTACTGATACTCAGCGTCACCCGGATGAATCTGAAGTTCGGAAAATAATATCTACTATATCTAAGGACCTCTGCAAGCCAGCCAAAATTTTTCGTATCGGAAAACAAGATTCCAATAGAAACCGTGCTCTAAAAATTTGCTTCAATGATTGTGATACACCTAAAGCACTATTACGCAATAAAAGTAAGTTACCTACCGGAATTAAAATTTACTCAGATCAAACTCCATCTCAGCAGAAATATTTAAATTGCATAAAGGATGAACTGGCTCGTCGTCAAACAAGTGGGGAGACTGACTTAACTATAAAATACATAAGAGGCATACCAACGATTATAAAAATAAATCAAAAATCAAAAAACTCCAAACATTAAGCTTTGATAAAAAAAAACTTGTAACACACGACCTACTATATAACTATCAAGATCTACAAATTGCAACCTCACGTATGAATTTTTCTATGCAAATGTTCGCAGTATATGTCGTGCAGGTAAATTTGATGAACTGAAATGCCTACTGAAGTGTATTAAATCCAAGACACATATTATATTGTTAACCGAGACCTGGATTAAAAGTGAAGAGCATGCTCGTTCATTTCATCTTAATAGTTATACACACTATTACAACCTCAGAACTGATAAAACAGGTGGAGGTGTTTCCATTTTTATACACAATGATTTAAAACATATCTTAAGTGAATCTACATTCATAGATGAGAATAATTACTTATGGGTAACACTTGTGAACTATTCTCTTGAAATTGGACTTATATATAACCCTGGTAATACTAATTATAAAAAATTTATAGATACATATGAAGCACAGTTACAGAAACGAAACCGTATCATCGTTTTTGGTGATTTTAATATAGACTTACTTACTAGAAACAGAAATACCACTTTATACAAGAATCTGCTTCAGGGACAAGGTCACAAGCTATTGAATAAAATTGACCCGATGTATTGTACTAGAGAAACCCATACATCAAAGACAATAATTGATCATGTCAGTACAGATTTACTAAATGACAACTTTCACTTATCAATATTGGATTTACCTATGGCTGACCACAAACAGATTTATTTGCAATTAAAAAAAATTAAACCAACTCCGAAGCAGCGAATTCAATATGACGCTATAAATTATGAAAATTTATTCAAAATTATAGCAGATGTCAACATTAAGAATCCAGGTTTTGAATACACAGTTCTTGATGACTTAATAAAGCAAAACGTTAAAAACAACAAAATAACAAAGACAAAAATCTTAAATGCTCCACGAAATGACTGGATTAATAAGGAAATAATTAATATTATAAATGATAGGAATGACCTGTGGAAGAAATACAAAAATAACAGAGACAATTCTCGTATAGAAAATGAATTCCATAAAATAAAAGAGTCTGTAACTAAAGTTATTAAGAAAACAAAGGATAGTTATTATTACAGCCAATTTCTAAAATGCACAAATCCAAAGAAAATGTGGAGTCTATTGAAAGAACTTGCCGCTAACAAAAAGAAAGATACCATTGCTCCCACAAAGCTGAATGTTAATTCATATATAATAACTGATCCCATTCTCATTTGTGAGTCTTTTAATAATTTCTTTTCTACTATTGGGTTAAATCTCACTAATCATCTACGTAATAAACAAAACAATTTCAATCTAACCGTACCAAATAACAACATACAAATTATTTTAAATATTCTTAGACCGTGTACAGCTCAGGAAATTTCCCAAATTATTAACAATCTTGACCCAAACTGTAGTTCAGGTATAGATGGCATCACAACCAAAATCATTAAATGTATTAAAAGTCAGATTCTTGATAACTTAACGTCCTGTCTTAACGAATTACTCAGGGACGGCAAGTTCCCTGATAACTTAAAGATCGCCAAGGTCAGTCCAATATACAAATCTGGGCCCAGAGATGATCCGGGTAACTACAGACCCATCTCGGTATTGCCGGTTATGTCCAAGATATTAGAAAGAGTTTTATACACGCGCTTATTAGACCACCTAAATAATATAAACTTTTTATACGAACACCAATATGGATTTAGATCAAAATCTAATACATTATCAACTACAATTAATCTCATTACAAAAATTAAAACTAATACCGACCAAAGGAAAATTGTCCTTGTAGTATTCATTGATATAATGAAAGCTTTCGACACAGTTTGCCACTCGCTTCTCGTAGAAAAGCTGGAAACGATTGGAATAACTGGCAATGCCTTAAAAATGTTCAAATCATATTTAAACAATAGATCCCAAGTAGTTAAAATTAATGATTGTCAAAGTAAACTCTTACCTATCTCTTGTGGAGTACCACAGGGATCAATATTGGGCCCATTATTGTTTTTAATTTATTTAAATGACATACAACACCTTAACTTGCATGGACAGATAACCTTGTATGCGGATGATACCTGTCTCCTATACACTGGTTCATCTGTGCATGATATAATTTCTCGAGTGCAAAAGGACCTTGACTATCTTTACTTGTGGTTTCAATCGAAATTGCTAACTATCAACACTGCTAAAACATCGTACTTAATTTTTAAACCTAAAAATGTTAAAATCCCACCACATTCGCCTATAACAATAAATAATGTACCACTAATTGAAAAGAAAAGTGAAAAATATCTTGGATTATATATTGACAATAACTTAACATGGACAACGCACATAAATCATTTAATAACTAAATTATCTTCTTTAAGAGGTTCCCTTAGACACATAGTTCGAAGCCTTCCTCGTGAAGTTCGTCTTCATATTTATAATTCTTTGGCAAAAATCACACCTTCTTTACCTTATTGAAATTTGGGGAGCCGCGACTAAAACTAATATTTCTCACCTTCAAATTGCTCAAAATAAAGTAATTAAATTGCTTTTTCATTACCCATACTTAACTTCTACACAAAAAATTTACAGTGAAACAAAACTCATGAATATTAAACAATTATTCCAATATAACACCAGCTTACTAATATACAAAATTCTAAACGACCACATACATACTAACATTACCTTTACTAAAATAAGCCAAATTCAGAAGCGCACTTCACGACGCCCTCACAATCTTGTTATACCGAAGTTTAGAACTATTAACGGTAGAAAAACATTGAGCGTTGGGGGAGTGTTGCGTTACAATAGACTACCACAAAATATAAAAAGTGCAGACAGCCTGGCGATATTTAAACTTAAACTAAAAGACCATCTTCTGAGTGATCCTAATTACCTACGCAAATGACAGTCCACCCAAATTATACTTCGATGATTGATCCTTGACGCTTAAACACGACGTGATAAATTGTATTTTTAGTCTATAAGTCTCATGTAAGTGACCATTGTCTGTAATGAGAAAATAAATGTCTTTAAACCTAACCTAATCCAGCTTTACTGTCGTTGTTTCTTAAAATGTAGTATGATATAATTCCCAAATAACACAAAGCTTCTCTTGACGACATCGCGATATAGTATGAGCAAGTTTCACGTGTGTCTCAAGCCTAGTAAGTTCACGATCTTAAAAACCGCGTACTTTAAGTTCGTACGTCTATCACCCACTTAAGAGACAAGCATATTTTGCGAACTTCGTGCTACCCGCCGCCACTCGGAAATCTCGGTAGGCCCCATGCGCACTAGCGGTCAACCGCGGGGGCGGCTAACCGCGCGGTCTGCCGCTTTCCCAGTTTAATATGCAACCGCCTGTGATTGTACGCACTTGACCGCCGCAAAGTTTTAACCGCGGTGGTTGAATGGAGAGCTGCGGCCCGCTCCGCGGCTGGCCGCCATCTTGCTTGTACGCACTTCAGGGTTGCCATCCGTACGAGGTTTCTCGTACAAATACGAGATTTAGAGGTCCTGGTACGAGGTACGAGGTCACATCCATCCTCGTACAAAATTGTACGAGATTCACTGACACAAATTTTAATTTTGATCCGTGGATACAAATTATAATTTTGGAACGCACCTTATATTAAAACGACATACACTGCTGCTTTCTCTGAAAGTTATAAGCATCATAAGCAGCAGTGTACATCGTTTTCCGGCAATCGTTCTCTACCGCTAGGGAATTCCCCCGATATAAACTGCGAAAATTTTAAGATTTTATGTTTGTAGCAATGAGTTTGTATTCACTAGCTTGTTGTGGTCTGTTACGCACATGTACATACTCTCTTTCAAAACAAATAAGTTTCTTGTGTTGTGAGTGTGATTGCGTTGCATTGCTTAATAATGGAAAAAAATGACAGTAGTGACGATAATAGAGAGCGGTCGGCTACTCCGCCCCGTAAAGTGGTTAAAGTTGGTGGTTGGACAGCGAAAAAGAAAGGTAATACCAAAAACGTTCATCGTCAACAGTCTTTCAGGGAAGTTTGGCTGAAAGATCCAATGTTCCGGGATTGGCTTTTGCCCGATTCAAATGACACTTGTAGGGCCAAGTGCAAGTTCTGTCCACTCTCCTCAATGGTTGCTGAGTTAAGCAATTTGAAAGCTCATGCCGCAACCACAAAGCATAAAAATAATATCCCTGGTTCTTCGTCCGGACCTCAGCGGCAGTTAACGTCATTAGGGTTTCAAGTAGGCAAAAAACCTGACAATGTTGATAAAAAAAGAGCAGAAATCAAATTTTGTGCCTTTTTTGCTGAGCATAATATACCTTTTTCTGTAGCTGATCACTTCTCCGACCTTCTCAAAGAATGCATTACAGATTCTTCTATTGTAAAAGAAATAGAGCCTTAACGGACAAAAATCACAGCAATAACAAAAATTTAATTGGCAACGCTCAGAAAGCCAGCATAACTGAAAAATTAAAGAAACAGTTTTTTTCTCTATTAACTGACGAGACCACCGACATATCTACAGTAAAAACTGCTTGCATAGTCGTGCGATATTTCGATGAAGATGCTCAAAGAATTTGTAGCGTGTTTTGGGAGCTTCATAACTTATTTATTCAAAATCAAACTGATATGATTCAATCAGCTAACGCAGAGACGCTATATACTGCACTGATTCAGTCATTTACAAGTCGTGATGTCCCTCTAAAAAATATGATCGGCTTTGCATCTGATGGCTGTAATGTCATGATGGGAGATAATAACTCGGTGAAAACCCGACTCCAACGTGATTTACCAGGAATCACGATCGTTAAATGTGTTTGCCACTCGGCTCATCTGTGCGCAAGCGAAGCCTGCAAGAAACTTCCAGAATCTATTGAACAAGTTGCAAGAGATATTTACAATTTTTTCAAACACAGTGAAACGACTCTTTAGTCTTCGTGCCTTCCAAGATTTTGTGAATGTTGAACCACACAAAATTCTTAAACCATCGCAAACCAGATGGCTGTCGTTATCAGCAGTTGTGTCTAGAATACTGGAACAGTGGGACGCTTTGCGTTTGTTTTTCATTGATTTCACAACAAAGGCGAACAGAGAGAAAACTGATGTAATAAATCGAGCAGTATCGATTCTAGAAAAACTATGTGATCCGTTTTATCGCATGTACTTCTATTTTCTGGATTGGGCGCTTGTGCTATTTACAAGATTCAATTTAGAATTTCAAAGAGAAAACGTAGTGGTGACCAAGCTTCACGACAAGATATGCGAACTTTATAAAGAAATTCTGCTACGGTATCTTAGCTACGGGTACGTTATGGGAAGAGAGCTTATTCAAGTCAACCCAGAAAATGATCAGTTCCAATTGACGGACGACCAAATGTACCTTGGAGTTAAAGTATACGAGATGTTGAACAAACCGGAAATAATAGCAAAACCCGTGCAAATAGCGTCATTTAAGTCAAACTGCAGATCATTTCTAAAGGTAACGTAATTTATTTTGTCGGTATGGAATAAGTAGGGGAGCGCGGGGCTTGTTGTAACAGGGGTAAGTAGTAACAGACCTTTTTCAATAGGAATTTGAATTTTATTCACGTTTTTTTTTTACCTTATCTTAAACTTATAACGTGCCACGCCACTTTACCACAGCCAGTGTCCCGCCAGGCGTCGCAGTGAGTGGGTGTGTGCAAACGCTTTATTGTTGACAGGTAACCTATAATTTTACTAACGTAAATTTTTGGTTAGTTTTACTATTTTCGTAGCTTTGAAGTTTTATGTATTTTATTTTATACTAAAATATAACTGTTTATGATGTTGTGTAACAGTTTTTAAAATTACTAAGTTGATTTAATAGTTATCGTGATAAATATTACGAACTATATCTAGGGGCAAGTTGTAACAAAACCTCGGGGTTTGTTGTAACATGTTACAATTTGCCCCCAGATTGCTGTAAGTTACTGTTATTATTTGTAATGTAACATATTTTATTTGTTATCATTCAGAATGAGAGTGTATAAGAGAAAGACAGAGCGGGCAACCCAAAGCCAAGAGGTATACGAGTTAGCTGCAGCTGAAGTTTTAGAAAACAACTGCAGTATTCGGAAGGCGAGTAAGAATTTTGATCTATGTCATGTATCTCTGGGTAGATACATTAAGAAGAAGAAGAATAATGACCGTCAAAAAGTAGGCTATGTCAAGCCTCGACAAGTATTCACAGAAGAAGAAGAATGTAAAATGTCTTCATATGTCCTCAAGTGCGCTGAAATATATTTTGGATTACTTCCTATCGAAATAAGGAAACTAGCTTACCAATGTGCTGTCCATCTTGGTGCTAAAAATATTCCCTCTTCTTGGCATCAAAATAATATGGCTGGTCCTGACTGGTTTCAAAATTTTATGCGCAGAAATGCTAACCTGTCTTTGAGAACTCCAGAAGCGACATCACTGAGCCGAGCAACATCATTCAATAGGACTAACGTTAATGCTTTCTTTGAAAAATATCAAGGTGTTCTCCAAAGACACGAATTTAGCGCTTCTCAAATTTGGAACATGGATGAAACTGGGGTCACGACCGTTCAAAAACCAAAAAAAATTGTAGCTGCCCGTGGTCAAAAGCAAGTTGGCGCAATTACATCAGCCGAGAGGGGAACACTTGTGACATTAGCCTGTGCCGCTAACGCTGCAGGTAATTTTATTCCACCGATGTTCATTTTCCCCCGGATTAAATACTCAGAAATGTTCATTCGCGGTGGACCTCAAGATTGCATTGGAGCTGGCAATTCTTCAGGGTGGATGACTGAAAAAGAATTTTTGATTTTTATAGATCATTTTATCAAACACGCGAAACCTACCAAGAAAGAGCCAGTTCTGTTATTGCTCGATAATCATGGCTCACATGTGAATATTGCAGTTGTCGAAAAAGCCAAAGAAAACAATGTTATCATGTTATCGTTTCCCCCCCATTGCTCCCACAATTTGCAACCTATGGATGTAGGAGTCTACGGCCCTTTTAAAAACTACGTGAACAGAGCACAGACTGCATGGATGTATAATAATCCAGGAAAAACGATGACAATTTATGACATCCCAAGTGTAGTGAAGGAGTCATTATTATTTGCCTTGAACCCTGCAAATATTATCAATGGATTTAAAGCTTCTGGTATTTGGCCTTTGAATGTTGATATTTTCCAAGATAGTGACTTTGCGCCCTCTTATATTACTGATCGTCCATATCCTACAGAACAATCAGAAAATGTACTAAATGAAAGTGCGAATTTATCGTTGAATCTTGAACATCCAGAACTATTAGATTCTGCTCCTGAAGTGGATATCAGCACAACAGAAATTATAGGCCACATTGAAACTGCCAACAAACCAACTCCAAGTTGCTCTGGTTTAAATCAATTTTCACCATCAAAGATAAGACCATTACCAAAGGCGCCACCACGAAAAACAAATATAAAATGCAGACGCAAAAGGAAGTCTGCTATTCTGACAGATACGCCTGAAAAAGAAGCTTTGAGAGTGGAATATGAAGAAAAGATGAAGAAAAAGCAAAAAAAAGATGATAAAGAAAAGCGAAAGGGGAAAGGAAAAGGCAAAAAATCTGCAAAAAATGAAGATGGAATAGAAAGAGTGAAAAAAAGGATTCTTAGTTCAGATTCAGAATCGGAAGATTGCCATTGTCTTGTGTGCGATGAAGCCTATAATAATTCAAAAGGTGATTGGGTAGAGTGTATTGCATGTAAGATGTGGGCACATGTGGGATGTGTCACAGGAGATACTATTTCTTTTGTTTGCATCAACTGTGATTCTGATGAAGACTAAATTATTTAATAAAGAAACCCATTGCAAGGCTGATTATTGTAAGATGTAAGGTAGAAAAAGAAATAATTACAAGACTTGATTTTTAGGTTATTAACTTACTGTGATTTTATAGTGCCATTTTGACATGACATAAGTACCTTATAGTAATACTTAAGTACAGATAGATATAAGAAAGATAGTTAAATCTTAAATCTTTAATTTGTTGATTATATAATTTTTTATTTCCTGTTAATTATTTAATTAAAATACATATTATAGAAATACCTAGTTAGTATTTGTTATATGCAAAGCAAAGTGATCCAAAATGTGAAAAAATTAAACGATTGAAGGTGTCACATTTTTGTTTTTTTTGTTGTTACTACTTGCCCCAACAGATGTTACAACTAGCCCCAACCACGGGGTAAGTTGTAACACTTCCCTTTTTTCAAAAAAAATATAATTGTGAGATAGTTACCTGTAGATTTGATAATATTTCGATTCGACTTCATAGATAAATAGTTAGAGTATCGATCAAAGTTTATTTCGTAGAAATTTAGCCAATACACTTCATGATATTCAATTATTTGTTAAAATTGTTACAACTAGCCCCACGCTCCCCTACTTTATGGGTTACTGTGTCATACATGTTATTTTTATTTTCAGACTGCTGCTTTGGAGATTCGCAAAAGATATGACATGGAAGATCCAGTACTTTCTAAGTTAAAAGTTTTTGAACCAAAGTCAGCCTTATCCATCAACTTCAGAAACCGTTTCCCAACCCTGATGCCAGTTATGGCGGTTGTACCTCGCATTGTATCACCTTCCGATAACATCTCCAAACAAGAAATAGATGACCAATGGAGAAGACTGCCTATAGCCACGGCTTGTCATCCTGAAGGCATTTGTGATGTAAGTGAGCCGGACAAGTTTTGGGCCCTATTAACAAAGACGGAGTTTCATGAATTGGCCATCTTTGCATTAGCAGTATTATCTGTTCCACACGCTAATGCCGATTGTGAACGTGTGTTCAGTAAGACTAACCTTATCAAGACCAAATTGAGAAATAGGCTGATAACTGAAACGGTCAATGGCACATTGCTTGCGGCAGAATGCGTAAAGGGACCTGACCGAAAGGGTTCTTGCGTTAAATTTGAGCCGACAGATTTTATGCTGAGCAGAATGAACGCTGAAAACTTGTATGGAAAAAAAAAGACAGCCACACAGGAAGATGATACAGATGATGCTCCAGATGATATAATATTTGACTATTCAGTGCATCAGCTGTAGTTTTTCTGTGCGTTTTGTTTTGCTCTCTGTTGCATTGTTTTTTAATGAAAAAATATAGTTCATTTTGATATAATGTCTATCTTTTATTAATAATAAGTAATCTTGTTTCACAATAAAAATTTGGTAGTAAATTAATGGTATAATGCATTTTTTTTTATGGTTTAATGATGTGTACGAGGTCGTGTTGCCAAAGTACGAGATTTTGGACCATGTCTGTACGAGGACAAGCCATCGACGTCTGGCAACCCTGACGCACTTGCGATTTCAGTTTGCGGCGAGCCGCCGATGAGTTAGTACGTGAGTCGCAGTCATGAACTTCGACACAGAGAAATTCATTGTTGAAATTCAACAACGAGAATCAATTTGGAATTGTCAAGGAGCAATATATAGGAATAGAGATTTAAAACGGAAACAATGGGAAGAATTAGTAGACATTTTTGGAAAAGATGAGATGACAACAGAGGAAAAAAGAAGTCTTGATAAGTATTTATTATAATTATTATTATTATATTTATATAAACGAAACTACACATACATTCAACATCTTAAAACATAATAAATACGTCTATTTTCAATTAAATCATATTTCTTTGCCATTCTAATTTCCCATCAGTCATAAAATATTGGGCAAACAATTCTCTGTATCTCAACGCAGTTTTAGCGTTCCTTCTTAACCCTTCCTGTGTTAAGTTTTCTGTCAAAGGGCAACTGAGTGAGTCGTCGTAACAATAACCATCTCGGTCTCTTACAAAATTATGTAGTACACAAGTAGCTTTTATAATATCTTTTGCTAGATCAAAGTGAACATTTAGAGGTCTATGAAATATACGCCACTTGTTTGCATAAATTCCAAAACTGCATTCTACATATCTTCTTGCTCTAGAAAGCCTGTAATTGAACGCTCTTTTAGTTTCATCCAAATCTTTTTTTGCGTATGGGCGCATCATATTCGTAGATAATGCAAATGCCTCGTCGCCTACAAAAACGTATGGCATACATGTCTCGCTGTTTTGTGAAATAGGCTGTGGCTCTGGAATATCCAATTGGTTTTTTTGCATTCTTTCGTAGAAAACAGAATTTTGAAATAATGACGAGTCACTGAATTTACCAAAAGCTCCAATATCAACCATAACAAATTTGAAATTACTGTCGCATACTGCTAATAAAACCAAAGAGAAAAAACTTTTATAATTAAAGCACATTGAGCCACTGTTATTAGGTGCTATACATCGTATGTGCTTGCCATCGACAGCACCTAAGCAGTTAGAAAAATTAGCTCTTTGAAAAAAATCATTCGCAATTTTTTTCCAAGCGTCTTTTTTTGGTTGAGGCAAACAAATATCTTTCAGACAAAACCAAATTGCAAAACAAACTTCTCGTATGATTTCTGCTACAGTGCTTACTCCAATTTTGAATGTACAGTAGAACCTCGATAACGTAAACCTCGGTAACATAAAAACCTCTGTTACTTCAAAAAATACTATGTTCCCTTCCCATCAGAGCCCAAAACCTCTATAACTTAAAATACGCAACCTCTATAACGTAAATAAATAATCTCTGTATAGGCCCTCAGTAACTAAAAGAAATGTTTCCACAACCTCTATAACATAAAATTGTTTGTGAATGAGTCATTTTATAAGAGTGTCAAAACAAATGGTTTCGGTATTTATTGCTTGCACGTGTTTACTAATGTATTGTTAACGTAAACAATACATTACCTATTGTTTGCTTTATCTAAATTCTTCAAAGCTTTGCGGCGGTTAGCTTTGTGACAACGACTTACTTGCATCATAAGTTAATGTGTTAATGTATTCTCCTCTCTATTTGTCATTGAAAATCAAATCGATTATAAACAGTGAATTTTTTAAAACAAAAGAAAATCACAGTTTTTTTTAAGTAGACTAAACCTTTAGTTGTTGTTTTATTTTTATGTAATGTAAGTAATGTGAATAAATATGATTAAATATTTAATTTTCCATCCTTCTGATGCATTCAAGTAAAAATGGGAGGAAGGGTACATAGAAACATGTACATACCTCTATATTAGCCTTTACCTGACATAAAACCTTGATAACTTAAAACCTCGATAACATAAAATATTTTGTGTTTCCCTTGGACTTTATCTTATCGAGGTTCTACTGTATAATGTAGTTCCGCAAATGTACAACCTGTTGCAAAATATCTGAAACAAAAATTTTATAATTACTACATGCATTATTTAATTCAATTTAGATATGTACCTATATTATACTTCTATTACTTTATGACTATATCATTAACTTGTTTGTTGTATTGTTCTAGGAAAAGAATTACAAAAAAAATGGAAAAACATCAGGGATAATTTTGTGAAAGCTCTAAAGGACAATGTTAGCAGGAGTGGGTCAGCAGCTAAGAAAAAGACTCAATACATATTTTACAATAATTTAATGTTTTTGAAAGACACAGTATCCATCAATGAAACTGATTCAAATATGCCAAGGCAAGAAAATGATGGAAATGAAACAGAAAATGTCACTGACCCAGTCATACCACCACCGCCAAAACGAAAAAAAAAGAAGATGATATAGGAGTTGAATTGATTAACGTCTTAAATAAGAATGTCGAGTTCAGAAAGGCCGAAGAAGATGAAGATAGACTGTTCTTTTTGTCGTTGGTTAGTGAAATAAAAAAAGTGCCTGAACATATACGCCTACGAACAAAAGCTAAAATAATGCAAGTCATTACTGAAGCCCAAACGTCTGGATACAACTACTGTAACTCTACTTGGGATTACGTGCGACCATTTAACTACAACCAAGGGCCACATCAAGGATATCAGACACCATCATTTGCTAGAAATAATAACCCACCACCACCACCACCACCGCCCTCAGTTCCACCTACACATCGTGGAACATGAATCAACATATTCACAGAATACACATATGTCTCAAGAATCTGATTATTTAGATCTTTTTAATGATAATAATTCTCAGTAATAGTTATAGTTTCCTACTTTTATTGTTCTTTGTGGTTATGAATACACATTGCGATTCAAATTAAAACATAATAGCTAGCAAAAACATTTTTTATTTAAAATACATACCTTAACGTTATAACTAATTTCTCTTCGGGTTGGATACAGTCACGAAATTTAGTATCTTGTCCTTTGATGGTGACATATAAAACTGTTAGTAATTCTTCAAATGACGAAACACTCATTCTAACATAGCCAAAGAATTTATCTTGGTGCTTCTTCAGTTCTTGAAAACAACTTGCGAACTGGCCAAATTCATTACGTGTTTCTAGTAAAGGATGAATCCAGTATCTTTTTTTATTTTTCTTTCGTTGTTTTGGGGAGTAATAATAAATAACACAAGCTATCTCGACGGCGTCCATTTTGTTTATGAGGTACGCGGGCCGCTCTGGTCCAACCGCTTAACGCGTTATCATCGCGGTTTTTTCGCGATTGGCCGCCATAGCGGTCAGCCGCGATGAAACCGCGTTAAGCGGTTGGACCGCTCAAACGAACCGCCTAGGCGGTCAATCGCTAGTGCGTATAAGCCCTTAGACTGGACGGAAGCGATTTCGGTCCAAACCATCGATCGGCGACCAGTTAACTAGACCTCTGCTTATTATTTCTGTTTTGTTTCTCTTGAGCTCCTGGTACTTCCAAACATTTGGACTTGGGTGGCGCTTGAGTTGACCAAACGAAGAATTTAGTGATTTCAGAGCCAGCAGTACTGAAAATATGA